CTGCTCGTGTTGAGAGTAAAAAGCAAAAGTCTGAGCTATCCTCTGCATTGAAGTGGTTGATTGCTAAGCGTCTTGGGCCAGCACCAATAGTACCATCCAATCGCTGGAACTGATACCCACGTAGTCGAAGATAGTCTCCAAGGATATCAAGCACTCTCACCATCTGACTGAAAATTAGGACACGGTGATTGTCCTTCTTCAGTTTGTTAAGAAGTTGATCTAGCAACATCATCTTCCCGCTACTAGCAATCAGGCCCTTGATTTGGTCTTCCCGACGTTCACTGCCGTTGAGGACCTTTTCTTCAGCACCAGGAAACATGTATGGATGATTGCTAACTTTCTTCAGCTCCATGACAATATTTAACAAGGATGACTTCTGGCCGTTGTTCCCCTCGTTGAGGGCTGCGTAATTCCTGGTAAGGATATTTTTATAATACTCAAGTTGGACATCTGAAAGCTCTACACGGATAATCTTCTCGGTCTTGGGTGGAAGGTCTGACTCTACCGTCTCTTTGGTTCTTCGCAGGATGAAAGGTGCAATAGCGGCATGCAGATCCCGAAGTTTCGTCTGAGCATCTGCGGCCGCAAGGGTATCTAGATCTTCATCTATATGGACTTTACCAGGGTTCAAGAAGTCAAGAAGCGAGGACAATTCAGCCAAGTTGTTCTGAATAGGAGTGCCAGTGATCAGAACCTTAGCAGGAGCACCGAAACTCATAAGTTCCGAATACAGCTTAGATTCCTTATTCTTTAGACGATGAGCCTCGTCGACAGCCAAAGCTTGCCACTTTATGCTTCTTAGGAAGTCGGCATCCATCAGGATGTATTCGTAAGAGGTGACAAGAACATTGAATTTATGCTTCTTCGGATTGCCGTTAAACATGAGTTCATGATCCCGTATCGTATTTCGCGCCTCTGCATTGCCCAGATAAACAACGTAATTAAGGTCTGGGGACCACAAGTTAAAGGTATCGCACCAAGCGGGTATGACACTTAGAGGTGCAACAACCAAAAAGGGGCCTTCTTGCTTGCGCTCGTTTCGGAGCCAACTCAAAAATGAGACGGTTTGCACAGTCTTGCCAAGGCCCATCTCATCAGCAAGAATAACATTATTTGCACGACACCAATTGAGACACAAGAAGTTCAGTCCCGTAAGCTGAAATCCTCTTAGTTCGCCGTTCTGTATATAGCTCGGCTGTTTTTCAAGTTTCAAAAATTTGCTTCGCGTTGAGGGATTCGACTCGTTTCGATCAGACGTCCACGATCGCGATTGTCGGTCAAGGAACTGGTCAATCTTGTCTTGAGCCAATTCGGCAATTGTTGATGCTTGCTCCCATGTGCAATGCTCATATGTGAGACCCTTCCATTTGACGAAATATTCCCGTCCTTCATCACCACTCCGCTGGGTAACAACACGCTCTACTTTCGTATAGTCTTCTAAGGCGTCTTGTTCGCGTTCCTTGTCGAGCATGTATTGCTCTCGGGTCTCTGGTGGAAGATCTTCACCGGCAAACTTGAGCTCTATCTCGTACTCGATGGTCCTCTTGAAGTAATTTTCAAGTTTTCGGAAGCCACGGTACCCGCGGAGAATCTCTAAAGTATCCCACGTGTTGTGGAGGTAAGATTTACCTTGCCATTTGATATTATACTCGAAGTCTTCCCGGGTCGCGTCTGGGGTTAATTCACCACCATCCGTCATGCGATGGCCAACAACTTTTTCAATGTACATGGTATCTTCGGCCAGATCCTCACCAGCCCAGTAATTGGGTGTCAGCTCGGATTCATCCTCGTCGTCAATATCACTTTCGTGGTATGTCTGAACTTGTTGGACAGCTCTTCTGTTGGACCATCGCTTCTCGGCATATAACAAGGACTGTGGTTGGGCTTGTTGACGGCGAGCTTTCTTCATGAATGTTCGAGCACGAGCTCCACCGTAAGTATCGGAGTCGGAATCATCAGCAGGTGTTTGTCTCGCAGGCGTGCCCCGTTTTGAAGCTATGAGCACCAATTTGTCAGTTTATAAAGAGTACTGTCTACACCCAGCAAGAAACTCACATTGTCGCGAGATTTGCTCCACGCGGAGCTTCTTCGTTCGACGATTTGTAGGAACAACATCAGAACCGGAGTCATCCTCGTCATCAGATTCAACCTATAAATATAATATTAGAATCATATTTGTCATAAATAAGGCTTTGGCAGTAAATATGTAACTTACGATCTTAGGCTGCTTCGTAGGGCGAGACTGATAGAGACGAATTAGTAGGGGCCTAGAATAATGGTTTGATTTTGCATACACTTCGTCTTAAGCCGTATAGCTCTGGATTCTCTCGTATATACTCATCCTCACCACCTCCAGCCTTTCTCTTCGGAACACGACGAGAGCTATTCGAAGTTGATGTTTCATCATGAGGAGCGTCGCTTTGAGAAGGAGCAAGGCTATCCTCCATGTCAAAGTCGGCATCCTCTGAGGCATTATTGTCTTCATCATTATCGGTTGACTCGGCACCGCCTTGGGAGTCCAAGTCTTGTTCGGCATCTTGAGGTGATTGATTATTATTATTAGGGGAAGATGGGGAGGATGATTCTCGAAGGGCTGTATTATCGTTCACGTCCGACAGGTCGCTCTCGCTAACGCGATCATCTAGAATAATTCTTGCATTCCTTCCCGCCTGCGGCGACGAATGGCCGTTGACGGGACTAGGCTCTGGTGAGCTCGACATAATGGGATCGAACACGCCTGTCTGCTACGTGACAGCAAGGTTAGCAGGTATTTACAGAGAAAATGCTACATATATAGGGTTGGCGGATAGCGCTGAGATCAGCGATCATAATAACGAAATGAATAGCTATTAAATATGAGAAATGAACGTGACAATGGATCTGGCGCATATCAAGTGATGCTTCGATGAAGACAAGGCTGATAGATGATGGAAAAGGAATTGCGGTCTACCGGTGTTGACGTGACGTGCGAGGAAGACTCAACGCGTCAGACAACCCGAGAATAACGGATTCCATCCCGATATTAGCGTCGGAGAGGCTCAGATGCAAATGAAGAAGGGATAGTAAGGTCGCGTGGACATGTCTTCGAGATGGATTCGATGTCAAGTACGCGGCAGAGTACCAAACTCCAGCCTTGTCCAGCAACAGTACAAGCAGCGGGGTATAATTAAAATACTTACGAATCATCAACTTGAGTATCCCAGACAGGAAAAGAAGTAGTACGATATGGGTCTATGAGGTTGATGATGTACGGGTGCGGCCCCGTATGGTGCGTGTTGTGGGCAATATGATGAGAAACTGGCGGAAAATCGACCTGGAAGAATTGGTGGTCGGGGAACATTGAAAGTGGACGGGACGGACGGTGGGAGGTACCTTACCTTGCCCAGCTTTTTGAAGACGCTAGTGGAAATATAGACTAGTTCGCACAGCCACCAGCCACAGTGACTGTGCTGAAAAAGCTCAACGGGATGGAACTGAGTGAGTAGGTGTACCTTACGTGTAAGTTGCCAACCAAATTAAACTTTTCATTACACATTACAAAATAAAGCCCCTCCCATCAACTTTCGTTTGCAACTGTAACTAAGACCGTGCCAATGGCTATAGAAACTGTGGCTGTGACTGCAGTTTAACCTTAACTAAAAAGCATTTATTAGATCTTTTACAGCTTAGAATGAGCATACTCGTTAGCAAAACTTTATAACTGCAATGATTAAGCTCGACCATTACCAGTAACAATCGATTAGATATATTCAGAATTACGCTTATATTCAATATAACCGCACAGTTGTTATATTATTTACATAAGTAGCCTCCGATACTGTGCCAAGTTACAAACAAGCCAAGAAAATGACACAAACATGGACCTAGGTGACAAACCGAAGCTTATTGAAATGTAAGTACCTAATCTAAGACAGACATGTACCTAATTATGCATGCCATCACGTGATATACTTATACATAAAGGCTACAACCTTTCATTAAACTAACTGAAAGCTTATAGAATAACTACCTAACCTAACGGATAGCCAAATTATTTTCTTTCGGAATATCACAATGTAACATCACAATGCTTATATGATTTTTAAGGAACAGACTAAACTTATAGTTAAATAAGAACGAGTGTTGATGAGGCGGAGAGCGCCCTTAATGGCTTTACATAATGGCTTGGCGGATGGATTGAACACGAGCTAAAGCAGAAGCTTCTTTGAGTTGACGTTGATTTAATGGAAACTAGCTAGTGTTAATTGGTTAATAAGGAAATATATTAGTCAGCTCGACACAGCAAATCTTCGTTTGTTGCGCTCGACCCCGACGCGCTTTTGGGTACCTACTCGAATTAAAGAATTTCAGCTACGTAATTATGATTTAACCTAACTGTTTTTTATCTTTGACTTAATAGTTGATTTGTGTATATTTCTTGCTTTAAAATATTGCCCTAGTGTTGGAATATGGGGAATAGCCAATTATGTAATCTAGTCACGTGCCACCACGTGCGTGGGGCTAACCCACACATACACAACTCAACAACAGACAACAACAGATCGTGATAGCCTCATTTCAGTACCGTGTGTTTCGTTTTCCTTCCCTTTCCTTTCAACGTATGCTTATTGGTGTACACCTAATCCTTACCTAATTATTACCCATACCTGGTCCTTCCTACACCTAGTATTATTCATGAATTATAATATCTTATCCTCTTAAATATAAACGTACTATATAAACAATTTAATGCAGAAATATCCAATCATATTGTTAAGTGAGGTTATTATGGGAATATCATAATGTTATTCAACCAATAAGACTTTATAACAGACGAAATAATGGATATATGATACAAGCATATGAATTTAGGTAAACAATAGTATCATTTTAACATTTTGTTAATAGGTCCAAAGTAACAAAGTAATGACTCGGAAGCACGTGGGTAAAATACCTAATCTGAAGATATAAGGAAGATAGAGAGCTACCAACATACACGCAGGTAGGTCTAGCTTCCAATTCTAACTAGCAGTCACCTTCAACTTCGCTTCCACAAACTCAGCCAATACCACCAGAGATGTCCGAGCACTCATAATATCCAAGAACGGGATATCAACCCGGAACACGGACCAAAACCAAGAGCGGAACTCGGACGCGATCATGCTGTCAACCCCAAACTCAAGCAACGACCTGTCTCCCCCGATCTGGTCGAAAGGCATCAGGATAAGGTTAGAGAATCGCTTCTTGACCAAGCGCAAAATAGCCTCACGCATAGTGTCAGCGTCGGCCTCAGACGCAAAAGCAGCCGACACGGCCGCAGGCACGTCCTTGAACCAAGCTGCTGCCACCATCGCAGCGGCACGCCCGCCTTGTCGAGGCGTTGAGGCGGCCTCCTTCTCAGCCAGCAACGAAGCCAACAAGACAGAAGCGCGGGCCTCGACCAGCACACCGTGGCTGGTTACGTCAAAGCCGCGGGCGCTTAGCTCTCGAATGGCGGCCGGTTCCAAGCCCGTGAGGAGATGCGATTCCTCGGGTCTGCAGGCTGCTTCGCTGGCCAGCGCCAGATCTATTACCTGGAGGAACTCCTCCTCGTTGAGCGGCTGGATCCCCTTCCGCAATAGTAGAGCCTCTATCTCGGGGTTCTCGTGTAGATAGCCTACCTCGGAGATCATGCCCAAGCCCACCGAGACGCAAGCCTGGCCGCGCGACCGGCGCCAGCGGGCAAAGGCGTCGAGGAAGCCGTTCGCCGAGCAGTAATTACTCTCTGTTGCTGTGCCTACGGTTCCCGAGACCGACGAGGTAAGCAAGAAGAAATCGGGCTCGTTTTGCGCGTCTTTTTCGACGTGCACTTGCAACGCGTTGTGCAGATTCCAGGTCCCTTGCCACTTGGGATCAATACCTGTATGCCAGGCCTCATTGGGCATGCGTGTGAAAAGGGCCTCGTGGAGACCCATAGCCGCCTGGATGACGCCGCCGATGCGCCGCCCCGTGGCTATGCAAGTTGAAACTGCGGCGGTCACATCGGCAGCCTTGGAGACATCGCCGCGTAATATTCCGACGGTAGCCCCGGCCTCTTCCAGCCGAGACACAAGCTGTTTCGCACTGGGTTTATCGGCCCCGGAACGGCCTAAGAAGACGAAGTGGCGGGCTCCTCGTGTTATCATCCATCGACTGAGACTACGACCCAAGCCACCCAGACATCCGACGAGGAGATAGACCTTTTCAGCGTTGAATACACTGGCATATGTAGCCGGCGCGACCTGTAATAAATGTAGCGTTAGTCTTCATGACTTGCCTTGCAAGAACCGCTATTCGTTTGTATCAAATGTGGCTTACCGGGACACGGGCCGTCGGGTCCTCCAAAGAAATAACAACCTTGCCCACGCGATCCCTGCTCGAGAAATATTGATACGCCTGGGTAACCCGACTAACATCAAAAACCTTCATGGGCAATGCCTGGATCTCCCCAGCGCGATAGAGCTGTAGCGTCTCGACCATGAGCCTATCCCAAATGGCGCGATGGAAGGGGTCCTGGGCGTAGAACAGCTCGGACAAATCGAAGGCGGTAAAAGTCGCGTTGCGAAGAAACACGCGCATGTCCAACTTCCCGGCGTCCACGAGCTCTCGCTTGCCGATCTCTACGAACCGCCCGAACTCCGCTAGACAACGCCAGCTCTCGTGCATCAAGTCTCCTACCAGCGAGTTGACGACGACGTCGACGCCCCGGCCACCCGTAGCCTGCATCACGGCCTGAACGAAGGACGGGTCGCGCGAACTGAAGACGTGTGAGGGCGACACGCCCATCTCGTTAATAAGATAGTCACGCTTAGCCTGCGAGCCGGCGGTGGTATAGACCACAGCGCCTACTCTCCTGGCCAAGGTAATAGCAGCAATGCCCAACCCGCCCGAGCCGGCGTGAATCAGCACGGACTCTCCGGGACGCAGACGCGCGCGTTCGTTAACAGCATAAAGCGCAGTGCCGTAGACAAGCAGCAACGTCGGCATAACAGTAAATTCTTCGTCGTCCAGCATCTTGTGCACCGATCCGGCCGGCACGCGCACCGTCGTGCCGAGATGATGGGGTGCGTAGGCGACGACGCGGTCGCCTACTTTTATGTGCTTGACATCCCGGCCGATAGCAGTCGCTACGCCAGAAAAGTCAAATGCAGTTGTCTTGTCACGAGTATCTACGCGACCGCTCATGGCGTACACGTCTTTAGCGTTGAGGCTCACTGCCCTGACTTCGATATCGACGTAATCCGCCGGCGGTGTCCCGCCCTGTCCCGGTTCTGACAGCTGCTGGAAGTATAACGTGTCCATCACCCCGACTCGGTCAATGGATAGCCGCGCTGGTTTCGCTTTAGTAAGTGTCTTCAACTTCTTCTCGCTCCGGTGTCCTAGTCGTTGTCGAAAAAGGGAATTCACTCGGAAGTCAGGACCGTATCTGCTAATGTGTAGGAGGCCGTCTTTTTCGATGAATTCGCAATCGTCCTTGTCATACTTGGCTACTAAGGCTTTTAGTGCATTCTCGCAAGCCGTGGCGAAGTTGAGTTGTTGTAGAGGTCCGATATCGAGGACTGAGTATCGCAACATGGGTTGTTCTAGCATCAACGCGCGCGAGAGGCCGCTGGAAAGCGTTAGGTTGGGATCTGGAATATTACCCAGCACGTTTGCGCTCGTGAACCAAAGCAAGTCGGCTGCCGTATTAGTTATGACGCGCAGTCGATTCATGTTCTCTGGGCTCATCGTCGCGAGGAATTCGCCCTCCATCTCTAATATAGATATGCATATGTCCGTTTCGATAATCTGTGTGCTGTCAATCTGATTGAGCTTGATGATATCTACCTGTGATACGCCGGCCTTCTGTTGTAGGTACGTTCCTAAAGTATTTGAAAACTCCATTACGGCGGATGTTGAGTTCTCGGCTTGCTTTTCAACGAGTCAGTCACTGCATGGCCACGCCATACAAACTGCGTTACGCGGGAGAAGAGATACTTACTACAATTACAGCCTTGCGGCCTGTAAAAATTGTCGTCTGTATTGGCCGCACAGCTAAGAGGACCTGCTTTCCGGCATCTAATACGTCGAAGCCGGCGGCTTCCAACTCTGATACTGCAGCATCTGATTTTCGTGTAATGATAATCCCATGATCAGAGATCAGCTTGGCGATCTGGTCCGGTGTCTGGCCCCAGACTAGTTTCGAAGTAGCATGCTATACAACCCGCGTAAGCAATAAAATACTTTAAAGAGAACTAGCTACTAATCAATCATCTTAGTAGCTAACTGACTGTCTTTAGGTACTTGAGTATCTAACCTACATATAGGAAGTACTCAAGGAGTTGGTTTAGGGGGTATTGTTAGGAACGACTATCTATTATTGGGATGCAACTCACTCTAGGTATTAGGAGGACATCATATAGGTCTTCATCACCTTCCCTCTCCACCCAAATATTATCATTCTCGGTCAGACTAGCGGAATGCCAGGACCGGTAACGCGGGAAGGCCGTCTCTTTATCCAACATGGATTGCCATTGTCTAGCCTTGTATCCGAACGCGTCGCCGCCGAGCTCTAAGACGCGAATTCGTGGGTTCTTGTGTCCGGCAAGATCCAGAAGAGCGCCAATTGTAGCCAGGCTTTCGTCGTCCCTCATATCGTCGTGTTGTTGGTCTACGAAGGATCTCACGTAGTCCCTCAGCGGCACTTCGGCTTCCGGACGTAGGCGTAAAATATCGGGCTTCCAGTGGATTCTCAAAGTCGGCTGGCGCTGGGTATACAAGTCCGTCGGGAGGCTAGTGTTGTTGCCCTCGGGCTGCTTAGACTTCTTCCCGATATACAGTGAAATGCGTCCGCCTCTAAAATCAACCACGGGAACCCCGCGCGAATCCCGCAGCGTACCGTCGATCCGCCTGCTGGAGAGGCCTGTCTCCTCAGAGCGAGCATGAATCTCACCGTTAGCCTCGGCCTCAGAACTAACCGCACCATCGGTGTCCGAGGTAAGATCTCTCCGTGCAGGCTGGATCTTACACTCCGCAATAAAGACGGGGAGCCAAGTTTTCAACGCGGACACGTGTCCCGCCGTTGTGCTGAGGATGGCCGTTTGGAGTGCTGCGTCTATAGTGATGGGGTGTACGGGATAGTATGTACTACCCGTTCTAGCGATTGGGGGTTCTAATAGCGTGACTCCGATAGTCTCGTGCCGACTTCGTCCACCGTCGGCTTGTAGGCTACTTAGGGACTGGAAGTGAGGACCAAAGCACAGCCCTTCTTGATGCCATTTGGTATACCATCTACCCGTGGACCAGGTATCAAAACTGTTCGTATTCTGTAACGTAACGCCATCACCCTGTCTGCCAGCCTCCGCCCCTCGGCTTGGCTCCGTCAAACGGATACTCCCCGTACAGTGCACCGTGGTGCGACCAGCCAGCCACGAGGAGACTGCAAAGTCGTACCAGTCGATCGAGCTGTTGGCGTTAGATATCTTGCGCGGAGACATGGTGGTGTGGATTTCCAAGTCTTTGGCTGTGGAATACACGTCCCTCTCCTCGTCAGGTACGTGAAGGGCAGCACTGATGTTGATGTTACGGAATTCGTAGGCAAGATGAGCAGCCGGCTTGTCTTTGGCTGTTGTGATTTGCGACACGGCTTCGATGGCCATCGCCATGTATCCAGTAGCAGGAAAGACGATTTGGTCTTCTACCTTGTGGTCCTGAAGCCAAGGTGTTTCGCTCAAGCGTAGCAAGTTCCGCCACGTGAAGTCGATTCCATTTCCCGTGAGTGCTAAAGTGCCGAGAAGCTCATGGCGCAAGTGTTTCCTGTTTCTCATCTCGAAACTGGCACGAGGTTCACTCCAAAGTAAGCCCCCTGAATAATCCCATGGGTACGGTGCGAGGTTATGGAGTATCCTCGAGCCCGATTCAGGAAGACCATTAATCACATCCCAGTTTAATGTCTTGTAGCCATGTGCAAAAAGCATGCCAACAAGCGTCTTGATGCATAAGTCGGCATCTTGCTGTCTAACCAGTGTTGGTGAGTAGGGGAGTGATTTTTCATCTAGTCCAAGCGCCGTCCTGATCTGCTTGATAGGCCCCTTAAGTGCCGTATGTGGGCCTATTTCAAGCAGATGGACAGCGTTGTCTTCCCCCATTATTAAATTCGCAAGCGCGGCGTGGAACTGAACTGGCTGCTCCAAATTTTGCCTCCAGTATGCCGGCATATTGGTTTGACTATTTATATCACCAAGACTGCTGGGGTTATATCCTACGGAAGAGTACATTTTCCCCTCGAACATCGAAGGTCTCGTGTCATTCTTGTCGCTTCTCGTTCTGTTCTCGAAGAATGGTGTGAGGAGTTCTTCATATAACTCACCTATTTCCTCCATCATATGGGAATGATACGCACGCCCACCTGTTTCAAGCTTCCGGGCGAACTTATTCTGAGCTTGTAAGTCCTTTTCGAGAGTCTCGACGGCTTCCGGGGAGCCGCTTAACGTTACACTTTCAGGTGCATTAATACATGCCATACGAATCTGTGTTTCAAGACCTTTGTTCTCGATAAGGAGTTCAGCCTCTTCGGGATTTAAGCCGATTGCCATCATAGCTCCCCTAGAGCGCAAGGAACCGACGGCGTAACCACGGAAATAAGCCACTAGAATGGCTTGAGAGAAGGAAAGGAGATGGGCGGCGTAGGCTGCCGCAATCTCGCCAGACGAGTGACCAACCATGGATGCTGAATGGACTCCCCAACTACGTAGCAAGTCCACTAGCCCGATTTGAACCGCGGTGCAAATAGGCTGGCTACGGGTGACTTCATTGATACGACTGTTTGCGCCGTCTAATAACGTCTGTTCGAGTGTCCAGTCAGGCCTATGTGGGGGCGGGAGGGCCTGAAGTACACCATCGAGGCGACGGATCGTGTTGCGGAAATGTTGACTCGAGAACAGCAGCTCTTTAGCCATGCCGGCGTATTGTGCTCCTTGACCTGTGAATACGAAGCTAAGGGGCAGTGGATTAACCATTATTTCCAGAGCAGCTTCATCTGCCGTTATATGAACTAACTTCCCGCTGGCCTTCTCGTGTTTGGCTAAAAGGAAACTTCTATGCCGGAAGTGGTCTCGACCCTTGGTGAGGGTATGGGCTAAATCAAGTACTGACTTCTTGTCGTGTAATTGCGCTACAGCTTGGAGGGTTTGCTGGATAAGCACATCTAGCGACTTGGGCGACGCTCCTGACACTGGCAGCACTATAAGCTCTTGATTATCTCGTGCGTCCAGGCCATCTCTTGAGGAACTATGCGTCTCTAGGTAACCTTGGCCAAGGTAACTCTCCGCAGACTCGAGAATGACATGGGCATTGGCGCCGCCGTAGCCAAATGAGTTAATGCTAGCACGACGAAGCGCTCGGGGCCACTCTTCTACCTCACTGGCTACTTTCAAGTTACGTTCTGCTAGGATCACTGTATTTGAAGGCCTCGTAGTCAGTTTATCATCCGTAGACTACGTCGCAAATACCAAACTGAGGAGAGAAGGGGCTGAACTTTACGTTTAGGGTTTAGGTTGACCACCCCTTGCGATGGGGGTATTTGGCCATTCTCAAAAGCTTGAACAACTTTGAGAATAGAGGTGAGACCACTGGCTCCTTCGCTGTGGCCTACATTTGTTTTGACCTATTGTTCCACGTCAGCTACATTGGTTTCCCACCATTATGAATAATTATCAATATAGACTCCAGGAAATCCAGAGAACTCACCGACCCGATAAGAAGTGGAGGCCCATCTCGTGGAGAAAAGCATCTCCCGATCGCATCTACTTCTATAGGATCTCCGACGGGCGTACCGGTACCATGACACTCAACGTAGTCGGTTCCGGCGAAGTTTAGGCCGGCATTCTGATACGCCTTGCGTATAACTACCTCTTGCAGCTTGCCGCTCGGTAGCGATATTCCTGGTGTTTTACCACTCCTATGTTGATGTTATTTATCTGTGTTGTCTAATATTTTCTCGTACAGTTCTCTTCATCCCTCCTCTTGACGAGTTTAAGGGCTGGGGACATGACTACCCGGTAACTTTATATATGAATGTAAGGGTCACTTACGCATTCACGGCACTCCCCCGAATAATTGCCCTGACGGGGTTGCCATCTCTAAGTGCAGCAGATAGACGTTTAACATAGACAGCATTGACGCCCTCGGCACGGCCGTACCCGTCAGCCGAGATATCAAAAGTGTGACAAGTCCCCGTAGGCGAAAGGACTCCGCTTTTAGCAGCGGCGATATGGAGCTCTGGAGACATAATCAAGTTGGAGCTGGCCACAATAACGCTATCGCAATCACTTGCCTTCATGGCGTTGAGTGCTTGGTGGAGGGCGTAGAGCGATGAAGAGCACGCAGTATCTATGGTAAAACTGAACAATTAATTCTCACCATTAGTATAGTTACCACTTCTTCAAGTTTAATCTTTGATGGTGTGATACTAGGAGTCAAATAGTAACATGTAAATCCAATGAATAATCCAAAACCAAGGGATGAAGTACGATATAGGGGGGCATATACCTAGGTCCGTGAAGATTGAAAACATGACTGATCCGATTTGACATTATGGTAGCCCCCGAGCCTGTCGCTATGTACCTATGCAGGTAATCGGGGTCGCGGGTTTGAATGGGCTGGTAGTCAACAGAGAAGTTGGCAACGTAGACGCCTATGTCGGAACCCATCACGCTATCCATGGGTATACCAGCACTCATGAGGCATTCGTAAACGACCTCGAGGAGTTTCCGTTGCTGAGGATCCATATATGTAGCTTCCATGTTGTTAATACCGAAGAATGCATTGTCGAATTGACGTACATCCTCGTCGATAAAATATCCAACGGCTACATTCGTAGCACCGCTACGGTTCCCCTGAGGGTGGTAGAATCCATCAATGTTATATCGCTCAGGCGGTACAGGCCCCTGTGCGGACTTTTGCTTAAGCAGGAAGTCCCAGAGATCAGACGGGGAGCGAATATCCCCGGGGAGGCGGCATGCTATGTCTTGCTTAGATGATCTCCTGGAAGAATACACATTGTTCTAAGTTAAAAAAATGCAGTAACATACCCATTCCAACGATACACGGGGGGTCATCGTTTGAAAACGCTGAACCAGCAACACAACTTGCGTTCTCATCTTCCAGGTTCATAAGTACCATGCTAGAACTGTCGCCAGTAGATACAACAGACGACTCCACCAAGACAACCTCAGGGCTGGACATGACTGCTACTACTATCTCATAAGATCACGAAATATAAGTAGGTGTAGTGTCGAATGTTCAAGGTTTGCTTATATTGAAGCTGTGGGAAGGGGTAGTGAGCACCAAGGTTAAGGGGTAAAGGATTTCCACCTTTACCTTATATAGGAGAATTAAGAATTTACATCGAATCCTGCTATGAGCTCAATGCTATCTCTAAAAAGGGAATTATTAAATGTATTTATCTTGAGCTTCTACATCTACGACTGCTCAACCTATACATATACACATCACTTTAGGAGTCCTTTTTCTCTGGGTGAACATATGCTGCCATACCATAACCTATCTCATCCCCTGAATGATGTTGATGAGCCTAGCTCACTTACTTGTGCTTGAATTATTCTTCAACACGCCCTTACACCATCTAGTATTTTTGTTCTATATCTACGCCATGATGTGAGTTTCGTAAGAACCCAGTATCAAATTCTCTACTATGTCGTATAAAAGGGATGGTGCTTGTGTTCCTCTGCAATAACATGGTAGGTCACATGAGGTTTTGCATGATTGGATGTCTTTGAGCATAAATCTCTACGTCTTTCTGCATCAGAACTGAAAGCAGTCCTCTCCTGCATGCTCTCCCATCGCTAAAAATCAAGCCTCGAAGTAATGGATATTTCCGGAAACGCTTTGGTAGTTGGCGGAGGTGGGTGAAATACCAGTTCCTCGCCTATGTTCTTACATGCATTGCATCTTTCCAAAAATGAGCCATTTGCTGACACACAGTATTGCAGGAAGCGGTATTGGCAAGGCTTGTGCTCTCCTGTTTGCTAAAGAAGGCGCTGCCGGAGTGATGGTTGCCGACATTAGAATCGACGCCGCCGCTGATGTTGTAGCCGAGTGCAAAGCTGTGGCTACAAACCACCAGTTCCATGCAGAGGCAATCCAGGTCGATATTACTCGAGAAGACTCAGTCCGTGGGCTTGTTGGTCGGATGGTTCATGTCTTCAACCGCATGGACTACTGCATTAATTGCGCCGGTGTGAGTTCCTCCTCGTTTCTCACTGGATATACTTGACGTGGAGTTCGAGGTCGCTTCTTATTAGCATTGTAACACTTTGCTGACATGCTTACTGCTTAGATTGGCGTTCAGAAGGCGGTAGATATTGCAGGGATGCCTTTAGTAGAATTCCAGCGGTTTCTCGACATAAACACCGTAGGTATGTTCCTAGTGACACGGGAGGCGTCTATAGCGATGCGGGCTCAAGAGCCTCGGGTCGTATCAAAATCCTCGCCTGGTCGAGGAACCACACGAGGTGCCATTGTCAATCTCGGTTCGGGATCTTCCATGATCGCCACTCCAGGTGTTCTTCCCTATACCGCATCTAAACACGCAGCACTTGGACTGAGTAAAAACAGCGGTGAGTTTACCATTTTTCTTACAACCTAGATAGACATAGGCATGCAATGCTGACATGCATCTTTCTTCAGCTCTTGATAATGCATCTCATGGCATTAGAGTCAACTGCGTTTGTCCTTCGTGGACAGATACTCCCATGGTGCGGGCGGCTATGAGTGGCGTGGAGGGTCTAGCCGAATTGATCGACGCTGCAGTGCCTATTGGTCGAATCGCAATGGCTGAGGAGATAGCAGATGCCGTAATCTTCCTGTGTAGCCCAAGATCTAGCTATGTGACTGGCTGTGGGTTTCTTGTTGATGGCGGAACAACTCTGACAGCACTGAGATGAAACCATCGGGTACGTGTCCGGATAGGGGGTGCATATGTATAGAAGATTACCTAGGTAAAGAGAGGGTAGGTGGTGGACAGTCTTGCGTATTTTAGGAATGCCAATGTGGTATTGGTCATATTTCACTTATACAGAGAGTAGGTGCTCAGTGTAGGAGGTACCCAAGATGCACTTATTATACACTCTGGAGTTCTCCGAATGTCTATGCTTAGGTCGTTAATTACTATATGTAGTGTAATAAAGCACATGTTTTAGTATGTATTGTCTGTAATGGTAGAATTGGAATTGCCTCTCTCTCTTGATTTGAAAGCTACCTGCCATATGTATCTACCTAAGGTAGGATGTATTGCTGCATTTTAGCAATATTTAGACTCAGACTGAATTAGCTAAGTTAAAGCTCCTATGTTTTGTATTATTTTTAGTTGTAGTATATAGAATTTGACGCCTTCCATATTTAAAAGTAGCTGTCAATTTACAATGCGATTACGTTGAGATTAATATGAATAAGACCTGGATATATCTTGTTATAATTGCTATTTGATACATATTGTCAAATAAAGCTGCGCTGGCTAACGTATCTAAAATTTATGATCCTTCCTCACTCTGTAGAACGGCTTCATCAACGAGAAGTTTGTGAGCTTGCTTCAACTCTCCCAAGTCGAACATCCGCCACAACATGGAGTCCTGGGCAAACATTAACGATACTCGGAAAGGCAGAAGATATAATTCCAAAAATACGTACCCAGACCGTGCGCCATCCAAACGTATCAAGGAAACGAATCATGCCCGTAAAGCTACCATACCAGAACCATGCTGGCGGGGATCGTTTCAGAGTCTGGGCGACAACATTCGCTGCGTATTTAAAACGATCAGTAGCACCTTCTATACTCCTGATTAGCCATGCCTACTTGGTTAAATACTTATATCTAACATGATAGGCGGTATTTACGTGGAGTCCGCGTGACGTGCCGTTGGAAATTCTCTGCGAGCGGAGAATAGTAGGATCCTAGCCTATACGTTAGGAGATATCTACGAGTAAAGCGTTGTAGAAGTAAATCAAACCTTCTGGTAGTCGCCTATGGGAATCATTCTTCAAGATGTTGGTACTGACTTCTCCAGAAATGATCTGTGCGGCAATTATCATCAGCAAATGACAAATATCCTAGGCTGTGGTAAGGCAGAAATATACAGTAATGACCTTGACACTTCGAAGGGTAATTATTAGCAGTATACTTTAAATGGCGCCATTTCAACACGGAGAGTGTTAGACCAATGTTGGAGTGCTGCCTTGGTAGCATTATATGATGCTGGTTGTCGAGTCAGTAAAAGGGCCTCCAGGGATGATAAAAAGAGAATATGACCAACCTCCATATAAATAAGGTATAATTCCGCCAATGGAACCGATGTTCACGATCGTTCCAGTGGTGTTAATGATCATATCATGGAAATGGTGCACCATGCGCATAGGCCCGAATACGTTAACATCGAACATGCGCTGCACCGCAACCACGTCTGTGTCAATGGCTGTCATGGTATAGGTTATGCCACTGTCATGAACTATAATGTAAGTCTCGATCACGAGCCAAGAGGTGGTACGTACGCGCAATTTATGAGAATGTCAAGATGACCGCCAGTAAGTTTCAACACGCTAGCTTTCAAGTCCAAGACTGACTTCTCGACGGTAACGTCAAGAGGGAAGAAGGTAATTCCTGCCTCTGACAAGTGGTCGCTCGCCTCCTGGGGAAGCACTGTAGCGATGGCATGGATGCCGTGACAACAATATTCCTGAACAAGCGCCTCACCTATTCCTCCTCGGCCACATCTATATCGGTAGTAGTAAGTTTATGAGAAATAGGTAGCTGAAGGGTTTTCATGGACTTACCCAGTGACAAGGGCAAACTTGCTACGAGACATCTTGGCATAGGAGGCAGGAAAACTCGTCTTAACAAAGTGATTCCTCGAGGTTCATCGAGTCTTCAGCTTTGTGAGTTTTAGTTGGAACATAAGTGATCCTCCCCTATAAGAGTAGACTGGGGGTATATGTTATAATCCTATAGTTACCGGTCCATTGAAAGTCAAGCACATAAGTAAGATATAAGCAGCCATGTAAGTAAGATGCGAGTATGATGTGATTCCAGTATGCAGGCTGATAGGCATCGGGTATGAAAGTGAGACTTATAACAGGATTTCTTGAAGGCATTATGTACATGGGTATCTCGGTACGTACATCTCTGGAAATTGCCAAGACGCCATCTGCATGTGCAGCGTACATAAGGGTAACTGAGATGATTTTGATTGGCTACCTTAGGTAGGCAATATATCTCATTCTGGTAAGTTTTCCTATCCATTTTGCAAACTATGTAAATTACGGGCAGGTTTCTTTGAGAGGTTAAGGCTTATACCCTTAAAAAGCCATTAATATTAGATACCTGCCATAAGCTGGGAGGCTTTACAATAGGCCGCTTAGAACCGTAAGCGACGACATTGGTGGATATTCCGATGTTGCGCTAATGCACGATCCCGTGTACTTACCTAGGTTACATCTACAGCTCGGCTCTCATTCCAAGATCCGTACCGCAAACACATGGGAGTGTAAGAACCTTAAATAAGGCTACAGAGCCGAACCCCTTTTGAACCATTCGGATGAGGACCTTCCAAATCGGCGGTAAAAAGTTCATATGTCTAGCCGACAGAATCTCTACTTTTCTTATGAGGGGATAGTTCAATAAGCTACAGATGAGATGAGAATACTGAATACAGATATAGAAGAGACCTTATTGTAAAATCTAGAGTAGAAAATTGGGTTGATCTAACAAGACCTTGTAACCCTAACCCTCTCATTTCCCCTCCACCCTCAAGGATACTGAGTAGGCAATCCGTTGTTGTAACTGAATATGCGATTCGGATCCCAGATCTTCTTTAAATCTGCCAGACGGGCCAACTTGTCTCTGCCGTAGATCTGCTCCAACTTCTCGTCACCATGAGCATAATTGACGAACACCGTGAGCTCCGGATACCCAGATGTAGCCACAAGATCATCCCGCAGCTCTAACCCGAGTGCAATCGAAGCGCTCTGTGTAACACTGTCTCTATCGTCAAACAGCATGTTGAAGTTTCTGTTCCGTTGCAGATAGATTAGCCATGAGTTAATTGACTTGCTTATAACAAAAATGGACATGGGATTTTTATATATAAAAATAGGGGCAGAATAAACATCCTTACATATATCCAGTTGAATCTCTCCAAGGAAACGCCGTTTCGTCAGACGGTATGGCTGCCATGGCTTGATTGGGGAAAAACTCAAACTGTAAGACGCTGTTGCGCCCTCCGGGATACTTGGCAAAATAGGCGTCCATCTTAGCAAATGATGCATCATATGTTGACGCGGAATAATTCTTCATATTCCAACTGTAAAGGTCACGGGTTATGTTGGCTCGGCAGATGGAATCCATGATACCCCCGAATGCATTGTCTATAAGTCTATTCCATGGGTCAATGGCCATTCGGGTAACCTCGAGATCAAGGCTAAGAATTGGGGCCAGGGCTGCACGCGCTTTATCTTCACGTCCCTTATATGTCCATTGGGATTGTACTTGTGTCTAAGACTCAACATTAGTACAACAGATTCCGAGTATCAAAGTCTTGGTAGACATACTTTATTTGTAGTGGCGTTGGAGTTGATCAACATAATGGAGGCTAATTCCGCGGGTAGGGGACTCATAGACTCTATAGTCCTGAAGTATTCGGAGCTTCTTTCCTTTGGAATAATGTACTCGACGGTAAAAACATCGCCATCATCGATTAGTGGATGAAGTCCGTAAGTGGCGGATATGATGATGCCGAAATTCGCGCCCGCTCCACGGATAGCCCAGAATAGATCGGAATTAAAGTCCTTAGACGCATGAACAATGTCGCCGCTGGCTGTAACTATGCGCACGGAAACTAATGCGTCCGTAATCAAGCCGTAAACGCCTTGATAACGTCCAACGCCACCGCCGAGTGTTACGCCAATTAAACTGGGACAAGAAGCACTTCCGGTTTCTATTTCAGGTAGTCAGGTGTCTACTCAACTAGATTAACAGGACGGAGGCTCACGAATTTCGAAACCGGCGTTATATAGCGGATCAAATATATCGCCCACCCTTACACCAGGACCAACTGTAAGAGTCTGGGCAGTTGTGTTTAGGTTAAGGGAATTAAAGTGACTCAAATCGATAGCCAGACCGTTATGGAGACGTCCTAGGGTAGTAGTGTATCCATGACGGCCTCCGGTAGCGAGGAATGGTATCTTGTGAGTTGTCGCAAGTTTTACCTGGTTACGTATGTATTAGTTAGCGGTTAACTGTTTTAGAGTCGCTATCATATGATGATTCGCGTACAATTCGCACGAGGTCTTCTTCTGTACCTGGACTGACGGCAGCGCTATAGGTTGGGGCACTAAATGTAGTCCATCGCTCTGTAACGTTATAAAATTCCGGGGAACCGGTAAATGAGATGGTAGTATTGGTCGACCATTGTTGATTCGTCAGGACAGACCTGAGATCGACACGGGGAGGAACTCTTGCAGTAGCGGCAGCATCTGTCCTACTTAAACAGAACGAAAGCCAAAATAATGGCAAAACCCAAGTGATAGGTATCAAGGTTGTGCTCAGAGCTGACATTTTAAATGTGATTTAAATTAGCTGAAAAATTATCTAAGCTTCCGATCTATTTACTTCGACGAGAGTAGTGAACAACTAGAATAATAGATTACCAGTTACCTCTCTTTCTCTCTCTATATATACACGCTGGAAGCCTCTGATCCTAAGAAATACGGACGAACTCAACCAAAGCTTACACCCTTTTTTTCAGCCCTGAATCCTTCTAGCTGAAAAACAACCAAGAGTCATCACGCCTCGTGGTGAGGCACAGGGGAATGTTAGGCTGAAAGTGAGATTAGAAGGACGTTAAGAAGTAGCATGCAACCTAAAGAGTACCTATCTACCTACCTAGTTAGGTAATATAGTGTATTTATAGTAAGTCATGTCTTGTAAATGACCTTACATAAGGTTTCACTTTGTAAAAACACATTATTTGAGTATTTCGTAAGACCACTTAAGAGGTAGGCAATGAACTGGTGTGGTGCCACATCGCCAAGAGCAAGGGTATTATTATGTAATCTTAGGTCACAGGCCATATAAAGGTCTAATATTCGTCGTATTCTTCTGATCAGATAGCCACGATCATCATCATTCAGTTATGCATTCAATATAGACACATTCGTTATTTTCCCATATTTACAGCTTATGGCCCTATCTTGCGTATTTATCTTATATATCCTATCCGATCAGTAGATCCTTACAGTTCTTTCAGAGTATAGTGCTATCATCAGCTGTTTAGGGCCTTTCACGAGGATCTAGACGTTGAAGTGATATGCCATACTCTGCAGGAGATACCAACTCCTGTTCAGCAAATACTGCAAATGTAAGTATAGAGCTTCCCCAGTTGATTCTATTGTATTCGATGGAAAGGGGGGTTAAGACTAGTTACGGTACGAAACTTATGGACTGGATGAAGAGTATAATGTATTATTAAAGTCATCGCGAGAAAATAATTTGTCAAGACTCATTTCAATAAGTAAACTCCGTTAAGACCCTAGGGAAATAGCTCTGATACTATAACCCTAACAGCTGTTAACTATCATGTTATTGACACAGCCTTTACTTCTGTTTCTTCAAAACGCGAGTGTCTTCTCGTGGTTTTATGTTATATTCGGGATATGTTACTCTATACCTATCACCATTTGGCAACGTTAGTCTTGTGAGATAGCAGATACATATAAAGATCCGCCTTACCCTAGCAGGATTTGTCCTACAACGCAGCCTATCATATACTGGATTAACCGCAGGATCCATATAGGAACCCAGAAAGGGGGAGTGACGAATATAGTGTCACTACTCCAACCGAGCAATGCCATCTGAAAGATGGAAGGTTTAATATTTTCTTCTTGGCAGTTTCGAAGATATCCCAAGGCGTTGCGCAGGTAGTTTTCATCAAAAGCATGCTCAAATTCTTGCGGCTCAGCCCAAACCTTGAAGATAAGGTCTTCTTGGGTGGAACTATGTGCCCAGAATCGATGACTATCTGTCCCTTTAACCGACGTCCGCGAGGTCTGTAATCGTTTAGATGAAGATGGCAAAAACTCACCGAGTGCCAGGGGAGATTTTCAGAATGCCATCGTCCTTGGTGAGTACATATTCCTTCCCATTCTTGGTAACTGCCAATGTGCCCTGTTCGACTTGGAAGAACTCAGTTTGCCGTAGATGGATATGCCTATTCGAGCTGTTCATTAGAGGCCACCGAAGGCAATGAAGGAAAAACGTAAGTTGCAAGTGATTCTTACAGTGGCGGCCCAGACAATCCATCTCGGACGACCTGGTTCTCGGCGTAGTGCGTCTCCCTCACAATAAGATGACCCTCATCGTTGTAGAAGAACTCATAGAGTGCCGCATCGTTTGGAGAGAGCATGCGAGGCCCAAGAGGAGTATCCGTACGTCTCAGTGGGCGTGGCGAAAGCCAGAGTTGCCAGCCAAGCGCCATAATGATGAAACCGCTTGTCCGCCGAACTGAAGGGATGCATAACTTGGGTAACACTTACAGACATCGGGGGGAGGTTTGCGCCTTATGTCCTATCATGGTGTGGGACTGATGTCTCACCGCTCACTCACATCGCGGGATGACTGAGAGTAGACATATTTTGGAAATGCTATTGAAGGTTTATGCTGTGCTAGCTTACATTTTTAGAAGAGGCAGGTATAAATTGAACTTAAATCTGACAAACCGGCAGAGGATCGAGCCTCGTAGGTGTGGATACACTCGTTCCTCCTGTCGTGGATAGGTAGCTAGCTGCATAATTTCGATGTAACATCGGATCGGCCCATCAAGATCGGATGCGATCGTCAACGATGTAACCGGCTGATTTACTTCATGTGCTATTTCTACATAGGGGTAGGTCTAGTGACAGCCCAAAAGCGATCCTGGATCAGGGGAGCCTTTTCCGTCTTACGGTGTCTTACGGATGATCATCTGTGGAAGCGGATGTTTGTTAAGACTTCCGCGGCTCCAAAGCCTGGTGGTATCACCATATAAATACTTATAATGACATGTATTTTCATGATTATCTCTGTTTAGACTAGCGTCCCTAGGGGGCTGAGGTATTGTGCATATTACTTAGCCTTTGATGCCTCGCTGACAATATCTCTGACCCCCGCGAACGAAAGCTCATCCAATGTTTCCTCGTAAACCTGCTTTGAAAGGCGCTGTCCTTCGGGTTTGTATACGATAACTGCCATCCTGCAGCGTTCGTGTTAACTTGAGTAATCTGAGCTGAGACATCGCATTGAAAGATGCGGGATAAAACTCACGGTTGGATCTTTGCGTCCTCGATGTACTGCCCATGCGCCTGCTCACCGAGAGTAGTGACGGCATGAACCAATGTGCGAGCGCCAACAGAGCTAGTCCGGCTTAGCAAGTAAGTCTGGATCTTATAAATGACGCGGATGATGCCGTGGGTTTCCCGGCCAAGTTCCGAGCCGCTACAGAACCCAGGGTTGGCGCAAGACAGAGTAACCACGGATGGAGAGACATGTTTCGACAGTTCCGTCAGAAACAGTTGTCCGAGAAGCTTCGTTGCCCCATAGCGATCCGCCATATTCCAATTTGTCGCCTTCCGTTTAAAGGCAGCAAGAACAGGCGTTGATTTTCCCTCCTCAAATTTTGTCCAAGCGGCTGTGTCAGATGATGCTATACAAATGTGGCCGGGGTGGCTTCCAACTCTCTTTTCTTTGATAATAGGCAACAATAAAACCGTGAGGAGCATGTTTGCCAAGAAGTTTATCTGTACGCCCTCCTCATAACCAGTCGGGCTGAATGACTCTGTAACTTTGTATATACCTGCGTTGAGAATAGCAATATCGAGACTCTCTAAGCGTTTGGCACGCTCCGCGAAGGCGACGATTGAGTCGTAGGATGATAGGTCCAGTTTCCAGACTTGGATGAATCCGGGAACAAGATCGCGTCCATTGGCGAGATTCTGTCGGGCTATTTCGCCCTTTCTTTCATCGCGAACGGTTATAATGACTTTGCAGCCGAGATCTAGGAGCTGCCGAGCCACTTCCAATCCTATCCCGCCGTTTGCCCCTGTGATTATGGCCGTCTTCCCACTCAAGTTTACATCGCGCTGTAGCACGGGCGGGGGCGTAACGAAGAGCTGGCGATAGAAATAATGAATTGAGCCTGCCCTTGTCTCAGGCGAGACATCAAAAGTCATAGCCATGCTGAGTGTAGCTTTAGCCCTTAGGAGGGTTTTACGAAGAGAAACAGGATATATGAGGTTGCGGAAAAGGATTTGAATATTTGGATAATGAAGATGAGATGCAAAGCAATGGAAGCTATTATCTACATGTAGGTACATACCCGTATGTAATATAGGTACATGACATCGGATACATGTACGTACCTAACGTACCCTACCTATGTAGGTACCTTAAGACTCCCTTACAGATAATTACATAATAATGTCTTCGGCTTTTAGTCGTCGGATTTCGGGCATTATATCTCAATATCTAATCCAGTGTATTACTTGAATTTTTGACAGTATATTAAGGTATGAATGTAAACTTATCGGGTTTATTTGATTCATTTGATTCGTTTTATCCACTACTTCAACTAGACGAATATAGGGAGAATCGAACAGCGACTGATTATATAGCTTAGCTTGTTCCAATAATTGATATCACCGTTGGCTAAGTCGTCTTGCGCCCAGATTGCCTGCATCAATATATTGACGTGGTTGAATGACCGAGAGGAATCTTCCTTTTCGGACCTGGAAATGAGATCTAGAACTGCCGTCCGTTGGTCGTCCCGTCGAGCCTCACAGCCTAAGATAAAGACAGGGAATTGCCGGACACAGGAACCTAGCTGAGAAAATATAGCAAATGCTCTGTCAATATGCCGCTGAGTCCCAATTGTCTGGTTAAGTAAGTTCTCAGACGCGCGATTGAGATATACCAACAGGGCTAGCTGATATAATTCCATTATTAATGGAGTATCTGCACTATGATTAACCGTAACCTCCACTGGTATGCTTCTGATTCTCCAGTCAAGTATTTTTAAGAAGTCTCTGTAATCATTCACATTCTCGGCAGACATTTTAGTCGGCGGTCTAGTAGATACCGCATCACAGACTTCTGATAGCAGTTTTATGGTGGCAAGAGCCGGCGGTGCCGTCTGGGAAGCCTAGTTATGCGTTAGAATTCTCCCCCTGTCTGTCAGTTAAGCATACTAACCTCAGCGCGGACACTCGACACAGCTGATGTGTTTTCCGTATTCTCTCTATTCCAGTGCTGCAGAGTGAAGCGTGCTAATACGTCATAGTAGTACACCCAATCCAGCAAGAGAGCTAAATCACTGTCTTGGGGGTACTTGTCGAGACCGGCAGTTTTAATGATGTTCTTAACGCCAGAGAGATACCACACCCATTGTCCCGAGGTGCAGGATGCTTGATGGATCTGATAGTTTAGGTTAGCAACATTATGAGTGCTATACGGCGTGGTAAGTGGGGTTCGCATCAACCTCAAAAGAACATAACAGCATCCCTGCGGCAACATGTTGGGCCGCTTCAGTAGTGCTAAGCTGATTTATTTCTGTAGCTGATAGGGATTTGAGAGCAGAGATCTTGAGCTCTACAGCTTGTGAGTGGACATGATGGCGATGCAGTGAAGATAGGGCTAGTAGCGACTGGAGCACTGCTAAAGAAGATGTTGTGTCACTGGATAGGGCAATCCGGATCAGTAGATTACCTAGATCTAGAGGATCGTGACTAAATATAGCGAGAGATTGTGAAGCAGTATATTGAACTTTATTCATTAGTTACCGAGTTTATGAACCTGTATCAGTAAGATTTAAAGGGACCCTAAGAACTCACAGTACTGAAATAGACTTGTATCACCGGCCTCTAATTTTAGGGGATTCCATGCTAACGGTATATGTAATATTGGCTGGATGGATCCTAGAGCGTGTTAAAGTGTGTTAAAGAGACGACCGCCTGGGTACCTATTGAGAATAGATCATGGGACGGCTTACCATTAGCCACCGGGTTTGCGATGCGATAGTGCATTTCAAAATCCGTGTATGACACGTGAGCAATACGAGCATCGGAGGAATGGGGTCCATCATTCTGCGGCGACGCGTACGGTGGAGTGTGAGACGGCGACTTTCCAACGACAGCACGCCGACCATCGCTGGAATTGGGCCAGGACAATTGAAGGCCGGAACCTTTGGAGTTCCGCTTCTGTGGAAATTGCTTTACGTGGGCTGCAGTAGTTTCATGAAGAAGAGTGACCTTTTTTAACTCGGGGCATTCGCCGATGGCTGAATTGGCAATGGCCAATGCCATCTCCCTTTCCATTTTCTTGGCATTCATCGTAAGGTACATGTACCTAATGTCCTGAGCCAAGGTAGAGTCGACTTCACTACATGTAAGTGTTTGTCGGGGAAGCGGTGTTTCGGTTAGATGCTTCTCTAGGAATGATGTTTCTAGGAATGCGGGAGTTGAAGTTTCCAAGGTAAAGGTAATCTTCAAAGAACGTGGGAGCCTCGGACACTTGCCCATTATATCAAATTCATGTTACACTGCATCATGCACATAATCTGCCAAGAGGCTAAGTGAGAAAGAGCGGCGTAGCATATGAAGGCTTACTTAGGTATGTACATGTATTTACATGTATTAATAATTGCATTTGTACCAGGTAGGTACATGCATACATGTAGATAGTGATGACATATATGTACATGATCTAACGTACTGCTTTTATAAGTTAACTAACGGGTGTAACCTGAAGCTCACATACATGTACCTAGGAATGTTCGATCGTTGTGATATACATGTATTATTCTATGTAACTGATAGCGAAAAGCTGAACAACGATAAATCTAACCTTAACTATACCTATGGAATAGAAGGTCGTCATATATGTGGAATAGGTAAGGTAGATAGATAACGTAAACCAATACTATACTGTGCATAGGTAGTCAGTAACAAGTTTAATATGAAGACACAAGTTATAATGTTATCAGTAACTACAAGATTTGAGTATACCTTTTAACCGATTCGCAGTTCTCAACTCGAGCTGGGTATATGATTATGATTATCTGTTAGGAATTATCAGAAACCACCGGCAACTATCAACATGACCCCTGAGAAGGTCATATATCCATCCACAATATGGATTGCTATATTGTTATTTATAATATGGCAATTAAGCAAAATAGGCCGTCGACCCAAGGACTATCCCCCAGGCCCGCCCACTCTTCCCCTTATTGGTAATCTACATCAGATACCAACAGAGAAGCGCCATTTACAATTCGAACAATGGGCTCGAGAGTATGGGCCAATATATTCACTTATGCTAGGGAATCGGGTTATGATTGTCCTCAATTCTGACCAGGCAATTAAGGATCTAGTAGATAAGCGAGGTGCCATTTACTCCTCGAGGCCGGAGTCTTATATAGGACAAGACATTCTAAGCGGAGGCCTTAGAGTCTTGTTTATGGTATGTACTCGCTAACGTGTGTGTATTCTCCATGGGATTAAGGGAGAGAAAAGATATGAGTTATATGTCTAATCACTAAACCATAGCCAAATCATGGAGTTTGGAAAATGGCTCGGAAGTTCGTTCATCGTATCCTAGGCATCACGGCAGCGCGAACCTATGTACCTTATCAAGATCTCGAAAATAAGGCCATGCTACTCGGCTTTTTAGAAACCCCAGATGATTTCATTAGCCATATTCGCCGCTATACAACCTCCTTGACCACCCAGATGACATTCGGCTTTCGTACCACGACTATAAAAGATCCAAGATTCAAAGAGATTTTTGACGTAGGTACCCACCTAGATATATGACTTTCGATATTGTGATGTTAACACGATACTTAGATATTCGACCGGAGCTCTGAGATGATCGCATCCCGGGTAGGTAAGCCTTACGCGTTTTGGAAAATTCACCTAGAGTTAATCATGTCCACCTCTTAGACAGCTGCACTCTTGGACCTAATACCTATCCTGAGACGCCTGCCAGAACGCATAATTAACGTCAAAAGCGAGGGGAGAGAGATACACGAAAGGGAGCTAGAGTTGTTTCGAGAATATTATCTCAAAACCAAGGGGAGACTACACGATGGTACAGCCAAGGTATTAATCAACATACGAGAATGAACTTGGTAGTATTTGTATGCTAATTTATAATAATTGTAGCCGTGTATTTGCGTGGACCTTGTCAATATGCAGAAGAAAGAAATATTTTCTGACGACCTTGCCGCATATATCAGTGGCTCGCTGTTGCAAGCTGGCTCCGAAACAACAGCATGTATTCTTGTAGGGTTCATTCAAGCTATGATTATTTTCCCTGAGGTAGCCAGGATTTCTCAAGCCGAGCTTGACCGCGTGTGTGGAGACCGTTTGCCTGATCTTAACGACGTCTCTAACCTACCGTACATCCGGGCCTGTGCTAAAGAAGCCCTACGCTGGATGCCAGGGTTCTTATTGGGCATACCTCACGCTGTTACTCGGGACGATACATATCTTGGATTTAAAATACCTAAAGATGCAACAGTAATCCTTAATGTCTGGTGAGTCGTGGTCCTTTAATATAGCCGTGGTATATGAAGACTCTTTCTTCATCGTTATGCTGATAATCTTTTCTGTATGCATATAGGGCTATACATAACGACCCTAAGAAATACGCATCGCCTCGGGAATTCGAACCTATGCGTTATATAGATGATAACCAGACATCTATGGACTCAGCAAATAATCCCGAAGTTAACCAACGAGATCACTTTACCTTTGGGGCAGGTAGACGTAGGTGCCAGGGTATGCACATTGCTGATCGCTCCCTATTCTTAGCAATTTCTCGCCTCCTCTGGGCATTTAACTTCCAAAGAGCTATTGATCCCGATAGCCATAAAGAGATCATTCCGGATATGAACGACCTGACAGAAGGCTTGATGGTGTTCCCAACGCCATTTCCGGCTAAAATAGTGCCAAGGGATGACCGGAAAACCCGCATTTTGAGGGAAGAATGGGATCAGGTGTCAAAGTCACTTGACGATCAGAATCAATGGAAGACTGTTCCAGAAGGATTGATTTGGAAGGACGAGCAGCTTTCTGAGTTACTGGGACAGGCATTCGAAGAATGAAACTATTGTTTTCGTTGCCGCTTTACAGATACAGGTAACAGTTGGGCAGAGTATTGATTCGTGCTATTTTTACCCAATATTCTTTTGCTTCATATTGTTAACTCGTCGTTACTTCTTACCCGTCACTATATAAGCTGGTTTTACTTGATGAATGGATATAGTACCAAGTACAGAGGTATAAAAATAAAAGCTCTCGGCGCAATACAAATATCAGCCGCATTTATACAGCCTCCGCGTGATCCTGGGGGAATATAAGGCACAAAGCCGAATGGATGCCTTGTAAGCATTGTGCACCCCCAGAGTGTCGACCCTACAAGCTGAAATGAAACCCCCACGGTTTGGACTCCTTAATAGCAACATTGTTCGGTGAATATATTGAATCCTAAACTGTTGCTTCCTAGCATACCTTATGACTGAACAACACCCATTAGACTACGACGGAGCTCCGGAGAGTATGTGTCGTACACAGCTGAGTGGCTGGTCATAGAGGTCTAGCTCTCTACGGTTTGAAACTTGATAGTCAGTCGCTTTGACTAATAGATACAAATAGTCTACCTCGGGTACTATTGAATCCTATTGATAAGCCACAGTCTAACTACCTAGATTAGTCAGGAAGCCACCACTGAGAGTTAGGCGTTATAGCTTATTCTGAGTTGAAGGGCAAAAGAAGCAGGTGTCTGTCGTATGTTGTCGGGAAATATAATAGTGATCTGAAATAAATTATTTGTACAGGTAGGTAGGTAGTTACAGTTGCGGTTCGTGAGGAATTGCTAATAACCTCGCCAGCTATGGGTATTATAAGGACCTTTGTATAACGAGGTGGAACCAAACATCATGGAAACAACTTTGTTGTTCCGCAAGGAACTCTAACCTAACTACGAAAGTTTGCGTCTATACATACCTACTGAACATGTTCTTTGTTGTAGATGTCTCATCTATAATCCTGGCGCTTTGGCCGTGACTTGAATCACAAATAGATCAGCGCCATGAAATATTCCTATTATAGGTAAAGGGTGTGTCGGATTTTCACCTCGAACGCCTCATCTAGCTCAGCTCGGGGGGAGTCAATAATTCATCGGGCAATCCGGATTTCTATTATATTCAATAGTAAGTGTAGGCGGCACAGTTATGTTATAAATATCAGTTATTAATCCATTCTCTAAAAGGCCTCGAGTAAAGTGCTATTTCTAATAAACTTGCTTCTCTATATTTACTTGATATACTAATATAATGGCACTGATGGCTGCGATTTATCGCCGCATATTCTGCGGCATTGCACTCCTCCAGGCCTTCGTGGCGAGTTCCCCTTTACCTCTTGATACTATGCCTCGCTATTTTCAGAATACTCCCATCACACGTCGACAGGTATCGGTCTCTCAAATCGAACATGAGCTGGGACCATTACTTTCTCCTAACTCGGCTATTTTCTTGCCTTCCGATCCCGAGTGGGCAAACGTCAATGAGAGATGGAATACATTAGCCCCCCCGGATATAGAAATCGTGGTACAGCCAGCAGAAGAATCAGATGTCCCGATAATTGTAAGTTCAAATTTACTGAAAAGCCAAACTACCAGATTATTCCGTTCACTGAGCTAATTGTTGATTCAGGTCCGATATTGTAACGATAATAGCTTCGAGTTCCTGGCAGTCAACCGTGGTCATGGCTTTACAACGTCTCTAGGTACATTCAAAGGAGTACAGATTGACCTAAAGCAGCTTACTGCTATTAATATTGAGAAAGATAGGAAATCAGCTCTATTTCAGGGCGGAGCATGGGCCCGTGAGGTCATAGGAACACTTTGGGATCGTGGCTATGTTACAAGTGAGTATCCTATATTATTATCAAAGAGATTTCAAAACATCATAAGGGTTCTTTTCTAATTTATAACCATCTTCTAGCTACCGGATCAAATGAGTGCGTTGGCCTCGCCGGACCCGCTCTTGGAGGTGGACATGGTCGCTACGAGGGACTGTATGGCCTGGTGGCCGATAATATCATCCACTTGAATGTTGTCCTAGCTGATGGCTCGGTAATTTCAGTGAATAAGACCAGTCATAATGATCTACTCTGGGCTATGAAAGGAGCTGGTCATAACTTCGGCATTGTTACCAGCTTTAAGCTCAAGATTTACCCCAAGAAAGTAGAAACTTGGCACTATCACAACTATTTCTGGACGCAAGATAAGCTCGAGACGGTATTCGAAGAGCTAAACAAGATCCAAGACCATGGTAAATCCCCTGTATTATTGGGATCGAGTTATGGGCAAATCTACATGAATCAATCTCTTAGCAAAACCGAGGTACGTAATATCCCCCTTTCCCCTTTCCCCTTTCCTAACTTAACCCTAACCGCTGAAATTTAATTCTCGACAGGCTATCCTTTGGTGGACCTTCGCCTATGCCGGCGCTGCCTCTGAGGCCGAGAATATTCTGCGCCCGTTTAACCAGATCGAGGCCATCTCAGAGGAAATGGGTGACGTCCCCTATCCTGACATAGTTACTCCTCAAAACACTGATATCGCATCTTGTGGCTCCGCCGCCTACGCTATTTCCACCGTTTTGCTCCAAACCTATAATATCACTGCGCAGCGCCAGATCTACGACCTTTTCAACCGAAACGCGGCTTTATATCCGGAGCTTGCGGAGACTTCTCGCCTTTACTATGAAGGCTATGCGGTTAAGGGAATGCAGGCTGTTGCTTCCGCCTCTACTGCGTATCCTCACCGCGATGAAAATCACCTAGCGTACGCCAACAACCCCCTTTCAATTTACCCAAAAATAAATAGTCTTAATAATTATTAAGATGTACTGATTAATTCTTTTCAGTTTCTTCGCGACCGCGGTACCTAAGGGATCTGACCTGTCTGACCCAGCTAAGACGTGGGCTAAAGATAGTTGGGATCTATGGAACGCGGGTCAGCCCACGCGTAAGCCAGCAACTTACGTAAACTATGCGACAGGCAACCAGTATGAGTTGCTAGAGTCTATATATGGATACGAATCGTGGCGCCTTGAACGATTGCGGGGGCTGAAGAATAAGTATGACCCTAACAACCGCTTTCGCTTCTTCGTTCCCATTGTTGCTGCTGATGAAGAACCTAAACGAATACATGGTTAGGGGTCTACCATTTTCCCATTTTATATTTCCATATCATTTTGTTTATTTATTTAGACAGTTAGAATATAGGGGTTACGGTTGGTTAGGTGACGTAGTGTTGCGACCCTAGCCATAAGACCTGGCAAGCAGACCCGGAATGGAAGAACTGTTACCAAACAGGTAATAGTCGGAAGTGTCTCTCGATCTCTGGGGAGATGCAGAGACAGGGTGGGATATATCTGTAATTAAGGGAAGATGTCCTAAATATATGGAAGGTAGAATGAATATAAGAAGGCAGGATCTCCTTGTTTGCCTAGTCATTCATTCTACAGCTATTAATCTAAGCCTAGTATCCAACTAAAGAGACTTGGTCGGACATATAAATCGTCAGATACAATGAAATAAGGCACATTGAGGAGTGGATTTGACACGGCTTAGATAAAAGATAGAAAATGATTATCAATAAGTCCGATGATTAGTCGTAAATGAAGGATTCATAGTGATCAAGTATCAGTGATCTGCAACTACTAGTAACTCTATAGTACTAAGAGATAGAAAACTGCCTAAGCTTAAACAAATCAGAGCCACTGTTTATTCCCGTACTGCGAAAGGAATGCACCGCCATCTCCATTCTCGATACTGGCGTTATCCCAAACAGATCTCACCATCTTAACAGCGACTTCCGGCGTTATCGGACCAGTGAAATTGGGTGCGTACTCGGCGAACTTCCCAAGACCTCCACCCAGCTTTTGCAGTTGTTCCGGAGTCGCTGTGAAAAAGAGGGAAAATATGTTAGATGCCTCTTATTTCGATGTTCAAACGGGATTGGGGTGAAGCTTACAGTTCGTGTAGTGGCCCACTTCTACCATTCCTGGGGTGATACTTAGGAAAAGAACACCATCTTTTCTATACTGAGCGCTGAATTTAGCTACTGCCATATTCGATGCTGCCTTGCTAATGGAATAGAGGGAGCTGAGGTCTAGGTCGAATCTGGTGGTCAAATCTAGATCCGCGAAGCCGCTCGAGATAACTATGACCTTCTTGGCTTTCCCTTTAAGGACAAGCGGCATGAATAAGTTGATGAGGTGAATGTTGCCCACCACGTGGATATTGATAAGGGTTCCTAAGTCGTCCTCAAGCTTTTTGGGATCGTTACCCCTTTTCGTTTTACCATATTAGTCATGAATCTAGTTCGGATGGTAGAAAAAACCTACAACACTCCGAGTGGTTCGTAGGCATCGAAATGCGAGATGTAACCCGCATTTCCGATCAAGTAGTCGAGGCTCCCACCAGTAATTCCGGCAGCCTCGGTAGCAGCTCTCTACCAAAATCTGTTAACACTCTGCCGAAGTTGACGGCCACGTTGTGTTTAGATCTCACCTTTAGGGCATCGTGGTTGGTCACGTCGGCTTCTAAGATGTGTATATTGGAACGTCCCTTCAGGGTTGCGTCCTCGGATATTTTCTTAACCAAGGCAGGCTTGTCTCGGACTATCCCGATAACAGTATTTTTCGGATCTTGCGATAGCTGACGAACAAACTCGTACTAATAGGGGCAATCGGTTATCAGCCTGGAGGTCTTGCTCACCATTTGCTAAGACAGGTGTGATTGAAATTTAAACTTACACCAATCCCCTTGGACACACCGGTGATGACGTAGGAAGACATTTTGATGTATAGTGATGTAATCAAAGCTGCTGCACGGCAAGGTAGTGAAGTTTGTGTGATAGGATGCCTTTAGATAGGTATGTATAGAACTGAATTCGATCTGGTAAATTGGATTTAAGTTGGAATTAGAGCAAGATAAAACATTGCCTTATATCTACTCGGTTAGTACCTAGATAATGTTAGGTAGCTTCTTCAATCGAAGTTTGAGCTTCTTTATGCTCTGTAAGCAAGAGTGAATAACCTCTAGGTTGTACTTACCTAATACTTGCCCAAAATCTAATGCGGGCCTACACTTGCATGAGTACAAGGATCCGGCTTTCTGCATGCAGTTGACTTAAGGTTACCTACCTAACCTAACCAGCTACCTCCATCGTATTGTTACCTCCACACAAATGCTTACGTGAAAGTTGCCCAAAATTTGAATTCGGGTTACATCTGCATGAACAAGGATAACTTGATATACATACCTTATCCTAAATTGGTTTAGGTATTACATACATGCAACCAATCCACTCAGCCGCCTGGATTCCAAAGTGCTGGGTTATGTCTCGTCCCACTTCTATTAGATATCGTTACACAACTTCCAATTGCAAACAAACATCACTAAAATACCATTTACACTTCCCCGTCTGAACATTTAAAAATTACCTAGTTACATACCTAGGTACCTATCTACTTATCTGACTGATCAACAATTTGATTATTAATTCGACCGCGAATTATCAAGGAATGGTCACATGCAGCCCAAGGCTATCAGTGCGTAGTTGTACAGCACGGAGAAAGCCGATACCCATCCATTATTGTTAGAACAGTCTACCATTTTAGCCGCGCCGGAAAATGAAACATCATATTACTAAGTTCAAGATACCTAGTTCTAGATTATGTCACCGTCGCGGAATATGTCAACAACCGTCCTCGGTGATAAGACCCCTTTCTTCCGTGTTTGTGTTGCTTGACGCTTTATCCCCCCCTTAGTTGATAGTAGATACATCTCGATACATAAGGTTAGGTACCCGAGTACGTTTACCTAATTTAGGTACTTGTTCCAGATATAATAGAAGGGGAGGTCTTTATGATTAGATATTCGGCTTAAAATTGACACCAAATTAAGCCGTGAGGCGTATTCGATCAATTAAGATTTCTATCTTAAGTTCAATTTTCAGCCTTGTCTTAGTTTAGTCTTTATTATCACTGTTAAGGAATTGTGTTAGACAAGTATAATTAGTCGCCGGCAAAGACGGAAGGATGCACCCACGTTTGTGTAGTAAATGAGGCTTGTAAAGGAGGCAGTCTCCTTGCTGACTACCTAAATTTTCTTGTTTTCCAACACCTACATTGGAAGAATAAATCTTAAGTTAGAAATACAAAGGAATGGAGGATATTAGCAACCACTGTTTAGAAACAATTGTTCCGAGAACAGCCAGATCGTAAACCATACTTTCATTAACATATGAAATCACATCCTCACCTTCTTCCATTCGGTCTTATAATACTTCACGCTATCCATATCCCTTAGCCCCTTTTATCGAGACTATCTTCCAGCCGACATCCAGATGGAAACTATCGACAATCCAGTAGAACAGGGCAATATGCAACCTACGGCAGCCCGCAATAGCGCCGATGATAAACTTAGGACCGAAGCTCCAGAAATTTCTGGATCGAGCCCCGTAGATGATACAGGCCGGGATACCCAACAGGAAGAAGGCCCGGGCTCGTCGAGGACTCTTCGCGGCTTTAAGGTTCGTAGGTTCTAGTGGTGTTAGCTACGAAATCATGCGTACCTAGGTAATTAACTAACCTCTTATCCTTAGTGGTTTTTGGCATATTCCTCCCTTCTTTCTACCGTGCTTTTCTATGCCCTCGATAGCACTATTGTAAGTAAACCGCATCCAGGGGTAGCAATACGAGCTATTCTCACAGGGGACAGGTTGCAGATATACAACCATCTATCATCGACACACTTGGTGAAACTGAAAAACTGCCGTGGATTGGAGTAGCAATCTTTCTCGGAGCGCTAACGGTTCTACCTATGTAAGCAGTGGGATAATGCTGTGCTTGGTACCTGTTTGGTGTATCCTTGCTAACTTAACATGGGTAAATAGCGGTAGAGCATACGGTATCTTCAACGTAAAGTGGATGTTCCTCTCGTTAGTTATCATGTTCGAGCTGGGCAGCGTCATCTGCGGTGCTGCGCCTACCATGAATGCCTTTATCGTCGGACGAGTTATCCAAGGAATCGGTGCAAGCGGATGTTACTCAGGCGCTATAACGTATATTTCCATGACTACCACCACACTCGAGCGACCCCTTTACCTCTCCGGCATCGTTGCTACATGGTCCCTTGGCAGTGTTGTCGGGCCAGTGATAGGTGGTGCATTTGCTCAAAGCAGTGCCACATGGCGATGGGCGTTTTATATCAATCTGTTCGTTGCGGCCGTTACTGCGCCGGGCTTGATTTTATGTTTGCCCAATATCGATCCCGCTAAGGATTTGACGTTTAAGGAGAAACTTCGAACGCAGGATTGGATAGCTATGGTCATATTCCTGGCTGGCTCCGCCTGCGTCTCTATGGGTCTTACCTTTGGAGGTACCGTATACGCCTTTAACAGTGGTCCGGAAATCGCTCTCTGGACTATGTCGGGAGTGCTACTTATCGTCTTTATCTTAGTCACAGTTTACCATCCTACAATACCACTGAAAGACAGATTGTTTCCTCTTCACTTGATGAAGAGTATAGAACTCAACATTTTGCAATACGCGCTATTCGCGGCCGCCGGCACCATGGTGACAACCCTTTATTATACCCCCTTACTATTCCAATTCACCAGGAATGATGGCGCCTTAACGGCTGGTGTACGTCTTCTCCCTTTTCTTGGCGGTATGATCTTCTTCTCGGTTTTGAATGGTGCTTTGATGCCTAGGCTTGGGTATCATATGCCTTGGTATGTTCTGGGTACCGCCCTGATGCTGGTTGGCTCTTCACTGATGAGTAAGTCGCTTTCCAATTCCTTTTATCCACGTACTATTAATTAATTTTCAACAGTTACTATTAACGTGTCAACCTCGGAAGCTCATATATACGGTTATACTGTACTTCTTGGGGGTGGATGTGGTGCCTATTTCACGGCAGGGTTCTCCGTGATCCAATCCCTTGTCCCTGTTTCTGAACTCAGCAACGCCATAAGTTTCATGGCTACCGGTATGTCAAACTCTCGTTATTATCTAATACTATAGCTGATTGTATATTATAGCGCAGACTTTCGGCCAAATTATAGTCCTTAGTTTGGCTGGGTCTGTATTTCAAAATGTCGCCGTGAGATTAATCAGGCAAACTCTCCCAGAGGTTTCGGCTCAAGACGCTATACAGTTAACCGCGGGAACTACTAGTCCCATGTTTGAAGCCCTTAGCCATGACAACCAGACCCTGGTAATAGAACAACTAACGCTCGCGATCCGTGATGTATTTATAGTGCTTGTCGGTACTTCCGGCCTCGGCTTGATCGCGTCTATATTTTTGAGTGTAAGTACCTAGGTATATAGATGTATGTAAATGCACCTACTAATCTATTTAATAGCGCCGCAAGATGTATTAACAGTATGACTTAAATACACCAGGGTAGATAGCCACGAGATAGGACTGCATAGACTACATATAATATAATGTTAAAACCATCGGCATATATATTGTGTAATTAGTCGTAGCGATGCATAGGCATGAATATAGAATTAGTGGCGTGTCGTTGGTAATAGACCTCGAATCAAATTTTCCGAGCATCTACCTAATCCATCAGTGAACTAATATCAGCGTTTTAGTATATCAGGTGGCTATTATGCCTTTTTATCTGGACCTTCGCCTTCCGAATACTCAGCATATTCCTTCATGAGGTACCCCATATCAAATTCCAACGCTTTCCCGTTGACTATGATGGGTTTAACATCCAACATAACAAAAAGCATACGAGCCGGTTTCTCGTTGGATGTGTTACGCCAACGATGCATAGCCCCGCGATTGATACATACATCACCAGGACGAAGAACCCGATTCATGCTCCGATCATCACTCAAGGTTAGCTCAACTTCGCCTTCGCAAACAGTCCCGATGCCAAGAGTTAGGGCACGATGCAAGTTAGACTCAGTGCCGGGAGCAAAGTCGATCATCCGTACCACACATCCGCTAGGAATATGGAGGGAGGGCTACCCAACGAATAGATATGAGTTAGTGGATAGCATCTAGGATTGTAATATAATAGTCGGGCACGAACCCTATTATTCTTTGCGTATTCAAGATCAGCATCCCCAGTAAGTTCGGTCGGATTGCCTCTGCTGCTATACATAATGTTTTGGGCAGCAGCACCACCAAGCATAATATCGCGGTGGTCTCCATGGTCCGTCTAGCCAAAGCAGGAATGAGTTATGGCACCCTTGCATGTTAATTGAAGATAGCCGGTTTTCTCACCTGAAGGAAGACCGGATCACCCTTATCATTATGTCCGGTGATGAAGCGGAATGGGTCCCTAAGACCTGGAGCTGGAAATTCTGTACATGGACCAGAGGTTGTCATTTTGAATCAAGTTGTCGGCTCGTGGGATAAGAAATAATTGGTTAAATAATACTACCAAAGTAGGATACAGGACTAGAGAGATATAGCGGCAAGGCACAGCCTAAATTTAACAGGAAAGGGGGAAGAGAGGCTTAAGTAGGTTTGTGAGGAGATCTGTTCTTAGGATGCCTATCCTTACTACTCAAAGTATTAGGGACTCAAATTCACGCTCTCCAGGATCCATATCGCAGAACATTCGTCTGTTACGACTTTGCATATTATCGTCATCAATATTCACCTGCAGTATACTTGTTATGCATGCTAGAGAGAGATATTGTATAATTCCTTTAGACTTGTTAAGATCGTGATGATATGGATATGCGTGATCGCCCATGTAGCACTGAGATTTACTCATAGTGGCGAGATCGAGACTATGGCTTCTAATAACAAGAGGTTGAGAAACTATGTCATGGCGTTTCCATCACAACACATAGCCGACCAGATGTCGGAAATGGGCAAAGTGTAGTCCTCAAGGCTTCATGTACAGTATGATTCGTAGTTGAAACTTGCGCAGTAGTACCCCGGACTTGATAATGGGCCTGGGGTGTAACTTGATATGCAGCTTATGATTTCCATAGAGGCCTAGGGGGGAAATTTACTGAAACATTCTGGAAAGCTTGCATGGCATGCGTTATGCAGTAAGACTGCGGTTATGCATCGTAAGACCTATTTGCTTTCTGTGTCATATGCGCTGACGGGACAGTCCGGGGTTTGGAATAAGAGGGAATAGATATGTGTGTGTGTGGAGAGAGGGGGGGCCTCCCTGCGGTGCAACAACTAGGTATATGAGGTTATCCGATGATATTATCTGATGGGCACGGCGTCAGTGAATCAGCCACGCCGCTACAAAGGAGGCACATCCACAAGAAAAAGCCTACTAATGGATAGACAATATTTCCTATAATGGCCCTATATTACGAAAAGCCACACCAGAACTGGCGGGGAAAATACTATATGCGGTCATATTCTCTTGCAGCTTCAATCTAACATGTCATACTGCGTTAATATATCGCAATGTACCATAACCCTTAATATGAGTAGGTATGACCCTAGATGCCCGCCATCTATAGACCTACCCCTCGGGTTTACCAGTTGTTGTTAACGCTACGGAGGCGTGGATTGAAATCGTGGCTAAGGAATCATGAGAAGTATACTCAAGGCATATCGGCAACAAGTATTGTGTAATCAATGCTGAATTATCAGTTTCGGTTGTCATCCATCTTCTTAAGGGTCGATGAATGGGAAATAATCAAGTTTGTATTAATGGTTGGATCTCACCTCTTAATCTCTTATGAAATTTTGTTCGCGCCTTCGCATCTATTATCTCTCTTTGCTCTCGGTGAATATAACTTGATACCAACAGTTTGAATTAGTTGACACCCTTTCCTAAGCCAAAATGGCCGGGAATATAGCAACAGATACAGGGTCTCTCCCCGAATATTACGTCCATAGCTTTCCAGCCCCGGGACTCCGCCAGATCGTTAGGCATATTACCGGAAATAACGCCAATGGTGAATCCAGATTCCTAAGTTCTGATCATGGCGAGCATTACCGTTTCATGGTGGAGCATCAAGCAGTAGCCAACATCATATATTCTACCCGGGAGACCCCTGTTGATCTGAATGCGAACGCAGATATCATCAAGGCCCACGAACAAGAGGTTTGTCGCTCCTACACGCTATATTAATGGAGTGTATCCCGTCCATTAACTGATTATCCTAGCCCCCGTTCCACTATCCCAACGGCTCAATTGTCCGTATGATTGATTTCGGTCCCGGCGTAGAGTCCCCTTTTCATCGAGCCCTAACAATTGATTATGGCATCGTTTTAGAGGGGGTCTTCGAACTTACTCTTGATTCGGGCGAGAAACGCATCTTGCGCCAGAGTGATATCTGCGTCCAGCGGGCTACTGCACACAAATGGAAGAACATCACTGGCAATGGCACCTTGCCAGGACGCATGTTGTGGGTTCTCCTTGATACCAAGGAGGTTACCATAGACGGCAAGAAGATAAGCGGCGACCTTGGTGACCTACAGAAGGAATATGCAGGCCGTGGAAATTACTGATGCTAAAGCTTGATGGTCCTCGTCGCTAGTTGTTTGGCTTAAGAATATATGTGCATTAAAGGATAACAAAATGATAGTTTTAACCAAGATGGTCCTTAGAACAAGTGAGCCATAGAATTTGTAATCAAATACGGCTCACTAACGCCGTCGTGTACACCACCGTATGGGTTTAAACTGCCTTGGGTTGGTATAGGAGCCATAGACAAACGGAACAATGGTCTTTGATTGGTTAGTATTGCTTTCAAGGGAGGGAGGGAGGTTTATAAGCATTCTTTGCTTATCAATCAAAATATCCATAGCCCAGATATAAGTAACGCCTTTAAAAAGGTCTAGGGATCTTCACCTATATCCTGTGTTATGAAATTTCTACATTCCGTACCCCAGCGAACAGTCATAATGCCTCCAATTCGAACCGCAATCATCGGGCTCTCCAGTTCCTCCTTCGGAAACTGGGCTCGTCATGCTCATCTCCCGTACCTACTTAGTCCTGAGGGCCAGAAGAAGTTTCAAATCGTCGCATTATGCAACTCGAGCGTAGATGCTGCCAAGAACGCTATTGATACCTTCAAGCTACCACCCGAGACACGCGCATATGGTGACCCGGATAGTCTTGCCGCGGACCCAGATGTTCAGCTCGTTGTATGTGCGACACGTGTGGATAAGCATTATGAGACAATTCTCCCGAGCGTACGACAGGGCAAAGATACATATGTGGAATGGCCATTAGCTCAGAATGCTTCACTCGCAAGTCACCTAGCAGCCCTCGCGCGGCAGAAAGGGGGCAAGACCGTCGTAGGACTTCAAGGCTGGCATGCACCGGCAGTCATGAAAATTCGAGAGCTAATAGGAAGCGGTCGCATCGGGAAGGTATTGAGCAGCGAGGTTCGTGCGGCTGGAGGATCAGTGGATAGGCTTTCCTTGCCGACTGGGCTGGAATACTTTACAGATAGGAAAGTTGGGGGGAACCCATTTACAATTGGATTTGGTCACTGTGAGTTTGTACAAGTTCCTATTAAGTCCTATGCTCGTACTCATTGATTACTATAGTATTCGATTTCGTTCAGTTCGTGCTTGGAGATATCCAAGCTCTACACTCCCATTTACAAATCCAACGACCGGACGTGAAGATCTGGGACCGATCAAGTGGAAAAGTTGTAAAAACAGTTCGGTCGGATGTCCCTGATCTAATTCTCGTGACCGGATCACTACAAGCTTCAGAATACGTTACTTCAGGCGCAACCGTCCATCTGAGATTCCGTCGAGGACAAGCTTTTAAGGGAGAAGACCCGCTTGTGTGGTCAGTAAATGGAGAAAGGGGCGAGATCCGTCTTAGTGCCTCCGGCGGACCAGGAATCTCAGCAGCTTCCCACGGACAACCTTTAACTATTGAGATTCACAACTTTGATACAAACGAAGTAGAGAACGTAGAGTGGAACTGGCAAGGAAGAGAAGAGCTGGATATATCCGCAAGAATAGTTGGCGCCCTTTACGAAGCATTTGCCGCCGGTGATGCGACGAAGTACCCTACATTCGACCATGCCTCGAAGCGCCATGACCAACTAGATAAGATATTAGCACAATTCTCGGCTGCATAAATGGCTGGTCTTATCTGTATCTCTCTCATAATTATTCCAGGCCATTGTATACGAAAATACCTCAGCTATGAGGCATAAACCATCAATAGACGGCTTATTTTAACACTATCTGGATAACTACCAGGGAGCCATCTATCAGCTACAAGGATTGCCTTGCTTTTTGCTTACTTTCCGGAGAACCCGTAATAAGCTGACTTGCATTGTATATGAATATTTGAGTTAGCGGCAAAGCAATGGACCATGCTGGGCTACACAATCACATATCTAATGATATGGTGCTGACATATTTCGTCATTTGATATATCCTCCCCGATTAGCGTATACTTTCAAAATGGGCCCTTCCCCCTATTGTTCCTATACTAAATAATGTTATAACTCCTTATGATACCTAACTGACCTAGCATATGGTCCTCTTTCAAGTTTTAAACAATGTCTTCACCTGTTCGCCAACCTATAAGCGTGAATATTAATATCGATACTGACTCCTATACCATCCCTGACACCATATTGGGTTCCCGGCGGCCTATCAAAGTCATTGTAATAGGCTTCGGCTTTTCTGGTATCAATATTTCGTACATCCTCGGTCGTCAAACAAAGAATGGCAATATTACCTTGCAGTTTTACGAGAAAAATCCGGAGCTTGGTGGCACATGGTTTGAAAATACGTGAGAGCCCCTATTACCCCTATTAAGTACTTCTTCATAAAGTAAGGAGTTGTTGACTCTTGGCATTTGGACAGATATCCTGGGTGTGCTTGTGATATTGTACGAATGACTTCAAACCTGAACCCTGCTGGTTTCTTACTCACTAAATCGCGGCAATAGCCAATAGTGAACTACATACCAATTCTCATGGCATCCGAATCCGGCGTGGACAAGTTAGTAGGTGCACATCATTTAACTACCCTTTAATTGAGCGCCTTGTTGACCTATTGGGCATTGTTGAAATAGTTACGCACCACAGAAGGAGATTCTAGCTTACTTGCATGATGCAGTTTCCCATCACAATCTTGACTCTGACGTTAAGCTCAATCACCAGGTCGGTGGTGCGTGGTGGGAACAAGATAAAGGTAGGTGGAGGGTTAGGATTCACTCTAAGAAAGACAACGCCGGCTCCTGCTTTTGTTGAACAGACGGGTTCAATAACCGCAAATACACCTAAATCTTCTAAGGAAAAAAGAAGCCTCGAGAAAGTCCTCGTCAAACTCGATCCGACCTTTAGTAACTCGACTTGCCCAGCTACTAGCTCTTCCGGAAGATGGGCAAAGCCCTTAATGATTCGAACAACAAGATCACCGCCTACGAAAATCACAATAATCAATGGATTAAATCCCTTCAAAGTTCAACCACCAAGAAGCGTAAAAAAGTTGAAACCGACCGCAACGCTAATTTCGTCCGTCCGCCTGAAAGACGTCCGTGAGGTGAAGGCAGGGCTTAAGGACGCCGTATCAGCACCCCCCATTGTCACTCAACGAAATAAAGCCGAAGAAATGGAGAAGGAAGAAAGCGAATATGAAACCGATAATCCTAAGTGTATGGTAGTTAGAATGCGTCAAATTTAAAGTGGTTTGATTGAATGGTTGTTGAGTTTTATATTTTGAATAACAAGGTACGGGTGGTGATGGCTGCATTTTAGGGGTAGGACACCAAGGGGCTGGTGCGCGAAGCAGGGGGTTAACTTATCAACCTTAAACTCCTTTTGTTTTTTTTTAACCAGGCTTGTTTAAGTTCGATTGTACTACCTCGTGATCCAAGTAGGGAAAGAGCTCATTCAAAATATCCTCTCGTCCATATGCTGTCGCAACCATCGCAGGTGTCTGACCATCGTTGCTTGCTAATCTGGGATCAGCGCCCACTTGCAGAAGCGCTTTGACGACAGGTGCATGACCATAGTTAACAGCCCAATATAACGCGGTCCTCCCACATAAGTCTCGTCGGTCAATATTAACCTTTCCAGTGGATGTGAGCGCCTGGATGATCTCTGGGACATTATTCTGGATAGCCCAAGCGAGAGGCGCCCAACCATTGACATCTTCATCGTCAACACCCTGACATCCATGATCGAGCAGGACATGTAGCGCTTTCACGTGCCCGCGACCACAAGCCCAGGAGATCGCGTTTCTCTTATTTCTGTCAATGCTGGCTTTATCCACTTTCTGGTGTTGAACAAGAACAGCGACCGCAGCACTATGGCCGTAACGGGCCGCCAAGGACAGGGGTGATAACCCTTCCTTATCTTTAGCGTTAGCGTCGATGAGTCGTAGACGCAATAGGCGACCTAGAACCTCTTCCATTCCATCGTAGGCCGCCCAGGACATAATTGTGAACCCTTTGCGGTCGCGATGGTTTATATTCGCACCCGTGCGCTTTGCTAGGACCGAAATGAGGCTTATATGGCCTCCGCTTACTGCCCAGAAGAGTGGGGTTTGACCCTCTTTATCCATCTCATCGACGCCGCCGCTACTCTTGTCCAGAAGCACTTTGACCATCTCATCGTACCCGGTGCCGCATGCGAATGACAGCGCACTCCTTCCATTTTTGCCCCGCGCGTCTGGGTCTGTTCGTTCATTTGCCAGCAGCGCATTTACACAATCCAGGTGGCTATGTGCAGCCGCAGCTGTAAGAGCAGTGTGCATGTCCAGACCTTGCGCGTTAGGATCGGCGCCGGCCTCGAGTAGCCTGACAACTATGCGGGAATTCCCGACCCGCGATGCCCAGAATAACGCCTGATTCTTAACCCTCTGAGGGATGTCTTGTCCCAGCAGGTCTACCACCGTTTCATGGAGGTTGAAAAATGCTGCCAAAGTGAGCTGGTCCAAGCTGGTAGGGTCTTGGTTCTCTGCCCCAGCGACGTTTGCCCAATAGAAGTGGAGCCAATTACGACAAGTGCTAAACCTAACATCGAGGAGAGTTTTAGCTGCTTCCCTAAGCCATGCTGGTGCCGAAGTTTCGCACGGAGTGAGGTGCTCCATCCAATGGGAGGATGCATAGCTATACAGCTTGTACTTCGAGGTTAGAGATTGGTATGCTCCTGGCTCCAGGTTGCCGGACTCATGATAAAGCCAGTCAAGATGAAGGTTAGCCTCACTTTTTAAAGATCCCGTATCGATGCTAGAAGATCCCCCAATTTCAGAGGATTCGAATATAGAGTCAACAGGTGAATTTTCAATATTAGAAAAATCATGGGAGAAATCCTCGAGCAGTAGGTAACGAATACAGGAAATAGACATTTGTAGTTCTGCGTTTTCTTTACTGATCATGCGTAAGGTAGGAAATGAGTCATAAACACGGCCAGCTTCAAGAAGAAAATCCTTGGCAGACTGGTGCACGAGAAAGACCTTCGAGTCTAAGATCCTCGCGAATGGACCCAAAAGCCCGCGAATAGTGTGAGCCACTGCACTTTGGCAGTCTTGGGAGACGGCATCTGCGGTGCGATGAGAGGAGTCTATTGTGAAGGCAATGTTGATTTCATCTAGAAATAGAGGTCTTGAGCTCGCTAAGATAAGCTGTAGCAATCGTGATGTTAGCTGTTGATTGCCGGAAGAAATAGCCCCCAGGAAACCCAAGTAGGTTTTTTCAAGCGTGGGCGGGATCTTGGTAACAATATCCTTAATATCCTTAATGGATGACATTACGCTCTCTTCTAGCGATTCGAGGACCATATGAAGCCAAAGAAATGTCTGGTCTGTCTTGGAAGAAAGAGTTTTCAACAAGTATTCCTTGACCCGAATCGAATAGTCGCGCCTGTAACTTATTTCATCTATTCTCTGCTGTATAAAAGTTTGCAAGTCTTTCTTATAACCGGGTTGGCCCTCATCAATTGATATGCGATTGGTGATTTGGATCGTGTTTGACCATATTTCGCGGGATGGGCGGGACGTTATGAGAAATTTGATGCCATTCCTGTTGCTAACGGAAGATTCTGGGTCGATCAAGAATCCATGAAGGGATTCAAGGAGCAAGCGACAGGTGCTCCTTTCGCATTCATCTAGGGCGTCGATGATGATGTAAAGAGGACCAGATCTCGCATGCTTTATCACCTTCAAGAAGATTTTCCAAAGCGACTGGAATGACTCGACTAATGTTCGGCCTTGAAGTTTTACTGCCCTCTGCACATGTTGAATTAGAGAATGTTGATGACGGAGTATTTGGAAAATTAAACTCGTCAAAATGGCCCTCGCGTCTCTTTGACCGGTAACCTTGTTATCACAGAAGTAAACAAGAACATCTTGTGCCACTGGTGGGGATTGGGGATCCTCGAAAGACTGCGCTAAAGCATAGGAAAGGACTGTCTTGCCACAGCCGGGATGTCCAGTCAGCCATAGTAGTGCATTGTCTAATTCGTGAAACCAGGACATAAACACTGGGTGGCTCTTAATCCACTGGCAAGTGCCTTTGGCTGGTTGTGGGAGCAGACGTTTGTATTCTTCTATATCGAACTTATTGAAGAGGTTGATACATAACACTTCGATGCTGCTTAAAGCTTATAACAGTTAGGATGTTATGAATGTGAAACAATTTGAGCACTCACATCTGTTAGATGAATGTGTACTAGAACACTTAAGTGCTTGGCATGCAATTCTTTTTATAGCATTGGATACGCTTATGTAGCTCTCGGTTTCAGTATCAAATCGGCAAAGGTCTCGGTGGTTTTCATTTAAAGGGATGATAACCTCATTGGGTAACCCTATTATGGCGGATGCGGGATCAACAACCTGGTTAGGTGTCAGTTTAACACAAGTCCTGTGTATTAATCACTCATTAACCAGATAGATGCAGGTCATAGCTCGTTCTCACCGGACAAGAAAATGGAGGCAATGGTTCAGTCTCATAGAATGTGATTACAGTCATATTCTGGAATCGATTTCGGACTGACAAAGACAGGTCATGAAGCTCTTCAGCATTGTATTTCAATTGATGTAAGAGCTCGGGTTTTACCACAGCAGGTTTAACGACAGCCAAGCTGTTGATTATAGTCCCCACGATACTTCCAAGGGTTGCAAGATTGCTCCCTTTGTGGGGAGTCCCGAGGAATATTATACCAACAATAGACCTTAAGACTGCTCCGTAGTTCGTCTCCTCTTCGTGAGCAAACACCAATGCCTATTCTCATATTTAAGCCTGGATGACAAGCCTTGAGGACTAGGATGGAGTTTACAGACCTGTTTGCAAACAATTCCCCCTAGACTATGAGAAACGAAGATAATCGGTCGAGGCCCCTGGCGGTCGTGTCAGATACTTGTGTCAGATACAACAGCGATACAGAAGGGAAATCCTCGGGAATACTTCAGAAGAATCATCTTGGAGATCCCGGACCAAACTCAAAAGTCTCCTAGAGTGCTCTTTGACTCGCGACAATGAAGGGTTGAAGAAGATTTGGGAGGGATAGCCGTAAGTATAGATGCGGCATCCAGGAAGGAAGCTGGGTAAGAAATCTCGCAGCCACATCTTTCCATTTGGATGAGTCCATGTAGTGAATGCATCACCATGTAGTCCGTGAACTGCAATGATATCTACTGGGTATTGTGCAAGTCCATGCTGGTTTCGTGGGGTCTCATGTAATGGAAACAGACCAAACCGCGAGCTTGTTGCGGTTGTGTTTCCATCAGAGGACGGCCGATGCCTATCAGCCGAATTGGATCGTCTCTTGATCTTCTTCCTGAATCGCTCTAGCATGATCAAAGGCGCTAACAGGGTAAATAGCTAGGATTTTCCTCTATTAACATCCGATTCGAAGTCTAGGAATATTTGAATTAGAATTCCCTCAATTGCCAGTGGGGTAAAAAAGATGGGTCGAGACAACTACTAAGGTCGGGACCAAAATTAGGTGGCTTGCCAAGGAACTAACCACAGTATGCAGCCACATATTTTCAGGGCCTAGGATTATCCTTTTATTCATACTCCCGATCTTCGTAGTATGTACGTAGATAGTCGTAAGGACTGAGGTACACAAAGACACCCTGGATCAAAAACTAATGAACCTGAACATATAGATTAATGACTAAAGCCGAAGCTGGGGTGTTTGTTGCACTAGCTTAGAATTGCAATTGCAACTATCGACTTCACTTTGCTGGGAGATAACCGACCACAGCGGAAGATGAGAAGCTACGAATATCATCAGACATAACACAACTTGTTTGTCATCGTCTTCAGTCCAATATATACGCAAGTGGCTTTGCGGAGACAAGCTCGCAGCCTGCAAATTGACTTGGAAGTATCGATCCAACCCACGGATATTCCTTGGGTGCCTCTACTATGTTGTCTCCTCGTGTAGCGGAAATTGGGATAATGGAGGTCTTGCTAAACATTCTGTAAGCCGACGCAATGCTGTTCCCGAGGGAGAATTTACCTTTCTGTAATCGAGTTAACAGTACTAAACGTACGTACGATCTCTTCAAAGATACGCAAAGACCAATCGGTCAAGTCCCTACGCCAATACGTTCAGTATGAATAGGTGTGGGACGGAGTAGGAGTTTGTGATGATACATTTTATTAATCAGGACGACTAAGTTATCTTGGGGTCGCATGTGGCCGGTGGATATCAACGACGCTAGATTGTGACTGGAAGCTCGGCCACTATCCGAAACAGTAGCATCTACAACCCAGAGAAAAACATCCGGTGTCTTGCTTTCTAAAGCAAACCATTAATATATCAAGGTAAAAAAGTCAAACACTACTTACCGTCAACCACATACTGCGACGATGGGGTGTAAAAGAGCTGCGGCATGTGTTCGTTCTCGTAGAAATTTGCTATTTGAGCAAACTCCCGAATCCCATTGCGCTCTAACTTCTCCAACTGCGGCAACTCCAAGCCGCCACACTGGTCACATTAGCAAGAAGTTCAATGAGAAAACGCCGTGCTAACGGGTGGTTTACTTCGTAAATTAACCGGCCGATAAGCGTACTTTTCCCGGCCCCAGCATCGCCGAGAATCTGCACAGATTTAGTGACCATTGTTGTTCAACGTCGCTGCAGTTCAAGTATGTGTCTGTTATCGACGTCCTTGGAGATGCGTCGGGTTGGAAGTAGCAACAGATGAGATGAGATGAGATGGAAAGTGAGGGATTGCCCCTCTCCACGTGACCGTGCCATAATTATAACTTGGAAAAAAAAAACTAAGAAATATTCTCACCTAAATCACGTGATGACCAACTGCTCTCTGTTTCCCACAATTCCAAAGGATTGACCATACCATAGCACCATGCTAGCTTCATTTTGGCGCTCCTCAACAACATTTAAGCATCAGATACACATCATGATGTGGCCAGGAAGCCGCCTCCACAGCTTTGATATCTTGTTGAACCCACGATGGGAGGTGAGATAATATAAAGTATCATGCATCTCACAGCTACTAATCACTCTAATATAGGATTATGATTGGGAATACTTGCACAGAAACAGATATAGCTATTGGGGCAACGGTTTCACCACAGCAGATATTAAAAGCGAGGGAATTGACAAGGCATGGTATATTGGAGGTGTATAATTTGGAGATAACAACAAGATATACAGAGGCAGTCTCTTTCCTTTTTTCCAGCTTTTATGCCTGTTAATCATGGTCTACTTGTGGTATTCTTCTCAATGATATGCAAATTGGATACCTACCTAGGTATGTACACATTTCAATCTGTTTTCTTTTCTTTTTCTCTTGTTCGTTGCTAAGAACCTAGGTCCTAGGCAAGCATAGTACTATTTCACCTTTGCAGCTACCAACATTCGACTGCGTTTTAACACTAGCAGCAAAGAAGTTTTATAATTTGACTTAATAGTTAAGTTGGTAGATTGAAGTTTAGACGATTAGAAATGACCCAGACCTTCAATTTAAGGCCATGCCTACTATAGATGTTTCAATCTCTCACGAGCAACAGAACAGCATCACACTTTCATACTTAGTCAAGTTTTTCATTAACTAGGTAGTAAGGCTTTCTAAGGAATTTATCTAACTTATAGCCTCGTAAACTTATGCAAGCTATGTTCATTACTATGTCAAAATTGAATTTGCAAGACTTTTAGCCCAAACCTTTGGATATAACCTTTAAACCTACACCGAAATTCAAGCGGGGATAGCTCAGCTGGGAGAGCGTCAGACTGAAGTCCACTTCAATTCTCTAAATCTGAAGGCCGTGCGTTCGATCCGCACTCACCGCATATTCTATGATTCTCCACTCGGTCTTTCGAGGTTGAATGGCTTTCTTTTTTTTGTCTTTTTTAATCCAGACTTCAGTTCTGGGTATACGCCCGTTGAAGAGTTTAACTTGAACTTGCTTTGAAATTTAATCGAGAAGCACTGTACAGTATATTTCGTGTGTGAGAAAATATATTTCCCAATAATTTTCTTTATCATTTCCTTATCAGTCTCTTACGTAATTAAAAAAAAGGTTAAGCGCATAATTCCTTCGGAAAGATAATTTGGCAATGGCAATGGCATGGCAATCAAGCAAAATGGATCATTCGTAGGCTGACCGTGATCAACAACTATCCAGATTCTGGCAACCCCATGGATCAGACCGATCGCGAGAACCTCAGGTTCATCTACCCCGGAAATCATGATATATAAGTAGTCAAGACCTGGTCTACTAGCGGCTGTTATACTACATATCACTCTAGGTTTAGGTAAGCTTTAATTGGTCAGCTTTGTCCACTTAAGCCGTAGTGGCTGATGTCGCTATAAATATAGTGGTGAGCCACCCAAGCTTTAGGTAGGTAGCGTCCAGTTATTCCACTACGCAGTTAAGCAGTATAGGCAGGTAGACAAACGATCCAATCAGAATTCTCCAGTTCATAATTTTCAGGTTTATCATCGTTCGTAGTGGCTCACCTGTGTGATTCAGCCACAAATCACCCCTCATTGCCGACCCTATGTGTAATTTTTGATACCCCACCGACTTTGAACTTTGAACTTTGAAATACATAACTCGTAACTTTCTACCAGGCGCATTTTGTCGCAATATTTTGTCGCACCATACAAACTACCGTACAAACTCGACGTCGCCCTTTGTTCCTTGTATCGTTGGCCTCACGACATTAGGTGGCATTTAACCTCTTCTTCCTTCGACCTCATATCCCTTTGAAAGGAGCCAGTCGTCATATTCCCCCACCATGGCTTCCAAGCTTACCCGGTACGTAAACCATGCGACTTAATGGAAATCCATCCCCTGCTTTGTATAACCATATATACTAACCATTTGGTCTTAGTATCGCCATCGTAAACGATGACAAGGTGCGTTTGATAATATCTACCTACCCTTCTACTTGATAGCTTTGGAATTGATCTAACATATACTATCTCGTAGTGTAAGCCCAAGGTAAATCGACTTGAGACCCGAGCATTATGATCTTATGATGATGCTTACCTTCTATAGAAATGTCGACAAGAATGCAAAAGATCCTGCCCGGTAAATTTTCCTCTTTTTCCTCATCCGCTTCTTCGACGTTTAAAAAAAATATTAGAACTTATAATCCTCAACGAATCCGTAACTTATTATATATCTGGCAGGTCGTTCGTAGTGGAAAGCTTTGCATCGAAGTTAGTCCGGACTCGAAGATAGCCTTCATCTCTGAAAGTCTTTGCATTGGATGTGGTATCTGCCCCAAGAAATGCCCCTTCGATGCCATCACCATTATCAACCTGCCCACCAACCTCGAAACCCAGGTTACCCATCGATACTCCGCGAACAGCTTCAAGCTCCATCGATTGCCGACGCCGCGACCTGGCCAGGTGTTGGGTCTCGTCGGAACCAACGGTATCGGAAAGAGCACAGCTTTGAAAATTCTCAGTGGCAAGCTTAAGCCGAACCTAGGAAGATATGAGAACCCGCCGGACTGGGAAGATGTCATCAAGTACTTCAGGGGATCAGAGCTGCAAAGTCAGTCCCATTTTCCCCACTTACTAGCAAGCATGTTTCTCTTTCGATTTTAACTAACAAGTAACCCAGACTATTTCACTAAGGTCCTTGAAGATGACCTAAAGGCCGTTGTCAAACCCCAGTACGTTGACCAGCTCCCGCGAGCTGTCAAGACGCCTGACAAGAGTGTCAAGTTCCTCCTTGAGCACAGATCCGCAATGGGCAATATGGACCAGGTCCTTGACATCTTGGAACTTCGTCATATCCTAGACCGCGATGTCAACCACCTTTCTGGTGGAGAATTGCAGCGATTCGCCATTGGAACAGTCTGCGTCCAGAAGGCTGATGTATACATGTTTGACGAGCCATCTTCTTATCTCGATGTCAAGCAGCGTCTTTCTGCAGCGCGAATGATCCGTTCCTTGCTCGGCCCGGATAACTATGTCATTGTTGTCGAACACGATTTGTCAGTGCTTGACTACCTTTCCGACTACATTTGTGTTCTCTACGGTAAACCCGCTGTATATGGTGTTGTTACTCTTCCTCACTCTGTCCGTGAAGGCATCAACATTTTCCTTGACGGTCATATTCCTACCGAGAACTTGCGGTTCCGAGAAGAATCTTTGACGTTCCGTATCTCAGAGGGTACTGATGACTTCCAAGCCGACAAGGCTCGCGCCTTCAGCTACCCGAAAATGGAGAAGGCTCTCGGCAACTTCAAGCTCAACATCGACGGCGGTGACTTTACCGATTCGGAGATTATCGTCATGATGGGTGAAAATGGTACAGGAAAAACGACCTTCTGTAGGCTTCTGGCCGGTGCCCTTAAGCCCGATAATGCTGAGAAGGTTCCCGAGATGAGAATCAGCATGAAGCCCCAAACTATTACTCCCAAATTCGAGGGTACCGTCCGACAGCTATTTTTCAAGCGAATCAAGCAGGCATTCCTCTCCCCGCAATTCCAGACTGATGTTGTCAAGCCTCTCAAACTAGATGATTTCATCGATCAAGAAGTCAAGAACCTATCCGGTGGTGAACTGCAGCGTGTGGCCATTGTCATGGCACTCGGATTGCCAGCCGACATCTACTTGATAGACGAGCCGTCGGCCTACTTGGACTCCGAGCAGCGTATCATTGCAGCACGTGTAATCAAGCGCTTTATTATGCATGCTAAGAAGACGGCTTTTGTCGTAGAGCACGATTTTATCATGGCTACGTACTTGGCGGATCGCGTTATTGTGTTTGACGGAAAGCCGGGTCTCGATGCCCATGCTAACACGCCCGAATCGCTGCTTACTGGATGCAACGCTTTCTTGAAGAACCTAGATGTAACCTTCCGTCGTGATCCGACAAACTATAGGCCTCGTATCAACAAGCTGAACAGTCAGCTGGACCAGGAACAGAAACTAGCTGGGAACTACGTAAGTTAATTTGGCATCTAATATTTCGCCGAGGCTTGTCGCTAACATGATACATAGTTCTTCTTGGAAGAGGACAGCTCTTGAAACGGGCGTCCCACGTGATAACGGCTACCATCAAGGCCGCAAGCATGATCAAAATACCCCATCAGCATCGGATACCGGCGTTCTAGGCGTACAAAAAGGGGGGTCGACGCGCCGAGAGAACGAGAGCGCACATGAGTTATCCGGCATGGATGCAGATGGTGGGGAGGAATGCGATGATCCGGACGAACATCGAGTGCAGCGACAGTCTACCCCCGTTCGCCTAGTCCTGCAAATATTGGGTTCTAGAGGCGCCTCTTGCTGCTTGATAAGGCGAGACTTCGTTATAACCACGACTTATCCTGCTGCATAGGTTTATGAAGGCGTTGCTAGATCCGCTAGCTGCAGAGTGAGGGGCGAATGGCTCAAACAGATGACTGTCGCCACATCTACCGATAGCATATATATAATAACATGTGTCCTTAGGCTTTAAGACCATCGTTGTTATCAAGGATACAGATAGACACTTAGCCCGCGGAGAAGAAGCGGGGAAAGAAATGCATGGCTTGATCATCAGAATATACCTCAATGTCTTTTCGTGAACTACGCTGTTTTATTTATGCTATCGTAAAACTATCTCGAATAATTAATGCTTCAATTACCTCATAGGCACTCCCTCGAAGATACTACAAACGTGTAGGTTGTAGGTAGTAAGTAATTCTTACACGTAGAACACCCGACTGGGTCGTATTATCATAATGGATAATAATTATTTTTTGGTTTCACCCGTCGAGAAAGTTTCATTTCACACACCAAAGGAAAGGGAAAACATGCAAATAAGCAATGTAGATAAAACCAGGATTATTACACTATCTACTAAAGTTCGATTTTCTCTATTAGGGCAAAGGAGGGAAAGGATACACACCGGGATCGTATTTCAAAGAGTTTTTTTGTTATCTGGCCCCGGGCCGGGCCGGGCCAGACCTATTACCACCGTGCTCCCCCGTATTGGGTCCTGCAGAAGCGTGAGAAACCTCTGGATCCGTAAAAAGAAACGGCCGAATCGGCGTTATAAATGAACGTACAGGGAGAGGTGTGCGAGTTTTCTTTTAGCCTTGCTCAACGGCGATGCTGTGGGAGGGCGAGGAGTATACGATGGCGAGTTTCCGAGCTGCATCCGGGTGTCCCAAATCATCTAAGCTCCACAAAGAACGTAGTCGGAAATTGACACGTACTTTTCAGTTTATTGGTGAGCCTTGATGGCCAAGACTAGGTCCGAGCTGCTCATATCTTGCTTGGAGACGCTTAGGTACGGCAAATGCTGCGGTTATGTAGTGGACTTTGGCCGTCTAATCTCGGCTTAAGGCTATCGTTGGAGCTTAGAGGGTAGGAATCAATTAGGGGGTGGGGGGGAGTAATATCAAGGATATATTGTATAGATCAATCAAAAGCCTAGTCTTCTTCGATTTCACCCTCTTCGCTACCGGAGTGTACACCAGTGTCATCTTTGGTAGGCGGCTGAACTGCTGGCGGAGTCCTAGTTTTAGGACGAGGTTCACGGTGGGGGGAACGCTCACGGGGTGTTCTCTCTCTTCTCAGTCTCTGCATTTTGCGTTAGTCGGTTGTGACTAGTGATGGGGAGAGTTGAATCTTACCTTGGAGTCTCTAGAGTCGTGACGATCGAGGTCATCATCTTCCGCTCGGCGGCGTCGAGATGAGGTCGGACGTTCATCACCATAAGGCAGTTCTTCGACGGGGCCTCTTTCAACGCGACGCCGATACTGCCGCTCTCGTTCTTCTTCCCTGTCCCGTCTTTCTCTGTCATAATGGCTCGGCGGATCCTCACGTCGAGACCGAGGTGGGTATTCCCTGTCCCTGTCTCGGTCCCTATCTCGGTCCCTATCTCGATCCCGTTCACGTTCACGCTCGCGGTCCCGATCGCGGTCGCGTTCACGATCTCGATCACGGTCCCGGACATCGCGTTCTCGATAAGAATCCGACGGCCGACGGTCAGATAACAAACTCTCAGCCATGCTAGACTTACGATAATTCTTCTCGCGCTCAGCAATAGCTTTGCGGCGGTCTGCTTCATATGCATCTGGCTCCGGGCTGCGGCTATGGCGTGGCGGTCGTGCGCGGTCACTACGGTGAGAACGATCTCCTCTATCTCTATCTCGGTACGTACCACGATCAATAGACCGTTCACGGCGTTTATGACGATCCCTATCTTCATCTTCCCGATCACGGATTCGGCGAAGGACCTTCTCAAATGCACCACGGCGGGCATCTTCGGATTTGACGGCTTGGAATTCGGCTGCGCGGGCAAGACGTGGTCGAACCTTTTCCCAAGTATCGTCTGCGGTAATTGGCGGGTCTACATGCTTAATATAAGACCGGAGGTCATCGATAGCCCTCCTCTGCTGCCTCTCAGAGTGCTTATCCTCATCAGACCGTTTAGACTTCTTTTCCTGAAGCTATTAAAAATGTCAATGATAAAGCTTTCAACAAGTTATGACGCCTTAAACATACCCGTTCGAATATCAGCATTATTATATCGCCATCAATGTTAGCAGTACGTCGATCATTTTTCAATACAGATGAAAACTCTTCGAAAGTGGTCTTGGGGGTGAACTCAAAACGGTTGTCCTGGGTTTAACGTCAGCTCACTAATACCGTACAAGTAGGGTAACCAAATACGACTTACGTCCATAACATCCAGCACGTCGTTCCGTGTTGTGCGAAGGGCTCGTTCCTCTTCCTCGACGATATCCCAGAACAGGTCAAGAGGGCTTGATCCAGCCTGGCCGCAAATCGACTTGAATCGTTCATCATTCTCGACCAAGGGGTATATTTGACTCCATTTAGTTCCGGCCTTAATCTTACCAGCTCTACGGAGTTCCTGAAGCAATTCTGTGAACGCGTCTCGTCGCTTCCTCTCGACACGGAGCTTTTTGTTCCTCTGGTTCTGTCGAGTCTCGTTAAAGCTCCGTTCCAAGGACTTGATATGATTTTGAAAAGCAGTCAGGATATCAAAGTTGGTAAGAGTTTTATACTTCTCATCATTCTGGAAAGGAGCAGTTGCTTTGAGAATATTCTGAGCCTCGGACCAGCGCGTGTAGGGCTCCAGGTTGAGCTTAGGGAGAAGATCAATGAGACCATCCATCGCACTCTTCCTGATACTGGCCTGACTCTCCACGTGGACCTTCTTTAGCTCTGATATGTAATCCTCAAATAACTGACGTCGCTCGTCTTCATCATTAGTTGAGCGGAAGATTGTTTCGCGCTCGATGATGGGACGGGCAGTTTTCCAACGCGTATAATGCTTAATCTCAGGGTGACTCTTGAGCATAGTAGCAAAATCAGCACGAAGTTTTGTCAGCCTATCCTTTGCGCGCTCCTTGTCTTGAATAACCATATCTTGGCAATACTTCTCGAAGGCAACTTTTCTATCCTTAGGGTCCTTGATAGATCGGTACTGAGGATCCTTGATCGTAGCCCGCATAGTCTGTTCCCAGGTCCAATCGGGCTGCACACCGCTCCGACGTAACAATTTCACGAAAGCAGCCTCAGCTTCTTCAGGGGTCGCATATTCGGGTTCGTTGCTCGCGGGAACAAATGCCTGGACACGCAAGTCACTGCCATGGGTCAACTGACGAGACTCGGGGAAACTCTCTCGGTGATCGCGATAGTGATCGTAGTTGGAGTTCGAAAATGAATTATTGGGAGTATATGAGGTAGCCGGCCTGCCTAAGTTAGAACACAGTATAGAGGGCATTCGACAAGATGCTTACGTGGGTGTCGAAGGTGTAGCGTCATGGCCTAATGCTTTTCTGTAAGCCTCGGGCATCTCCCAAGAACTTTGCTTCGTTTCGGTATTATACCAATACTTGCGCCCGCCTTCTGCGGTGTATTCCTTCCATGGCTGGTTCGCCAAAGCGCGCTATGAACAGGATCAGTATGCTGAAGCGACATAGACATATAGACGCGCAAAACAAACCTCGGCAGGCGACATCAAATCTTCTGGTTTTGTCCATTGTGTCGCTTTAGTGATTGAATTATAGTAATAAACGCGTCCATCGGGGCTTTTGTATTCTTGCCAAGGGTTTGGCTGGCCATAATGGCCGCTGGCTCCGTTCATCGTGGCTAAACTTTGCGAGCGCTTTGTATTTCCTTATTATCAAGACGCTTAGTCAAATGCTTTCTCCCTTTAAAGGGAAAATGCAATCGATGAAGCCCAAGAAAATAGAAAATAGAAAATGCGGTCGGCGAAGAATTTGGGTTGGTTGACAGAGACGAATATCTCAGAGCCAACGAACGAGATGAGGGATGCGAAGGTCCAGAAAGCTGCGAATTTTCAGCACAAGAAGTCGGAGTTGGGAAGGTACGTACCTTAGATTACCAGGTACATGTACCCACCTACCTTATGTACCTATCTAATGTAACTACCTGTTACCTAACTTTAGTGCTAAAAGCTTAAGACGGAAAGGCGCATACCCGAGAATGCGCACAAGCGCACGGACCATCTAGGCATGTTGCATTCGTCGTGAAGCTTCAATATGGAACTAACACAAATAAGTGTAGGTACTTTAGGTACCTAACGTATTCACATCTCCCAACTCCATCCTACCTATATGATAGGTAGACATACATATCTACACCTACCTACCTATTTCGAAATGCGTCAACTTCCTGCAAACAGTCCTGAGCATATTGATGATTAATATAGCATCACTTAGAAAATGTCCACTCCTTCGGTCAACGTCACTCCCGCATCGACTTTTGACCTTGTTGACGACTCAACCCTCACGTACTTCATACCCCTTGCGACGGATTTCGATGTCGAGGAAGCTTTTAAAAACGATGCGAATAAATCCGAAGTGCCGTTCAGCTCGGTAGAACGGCGAGAGTCTCTTTTCTTCGGTATGTCGTTCTACATCTCTTACAAGAGGTCCATTTTCTCACCATGCTCATTGTTAGACCCCAGATGAATCCGTCGACATTTACTTCGTCCTTACAAACCCCTATGTCCAAGAAGACGTCTTACGACCCTCCCTGCGAAACGTAATTCTCTCTCTTGAGGCGCAAATTGTCAATGGGACCGCACTAGACCGCGACGGCCAACCGTCCTCCGAAGTCATCTTCACAGGGCCAGTAGAGGACCAAAAGGATCCAACTATATTGTTCAAGCTCTCAGAAGAACATGACGACCATTCCGAAGACGATCTTCAGCAGTATTCCGTGGCTGTATGGAAGCAATCGGTATTTCTCGGTCGGCCTAGGATGCGAGTTCAGAGCCCTTCTGTTGTTTTCAATGCGACAGCGAACTTCCAAATCGGAAATCAATCCTTGGCCGAAGGGCCTCGCGATGGATATCTACCAAGCGGCATGGCATGGGGCCTCAACCTGCTCGAATCTTTCGGAAATGACCCTGCTATGAACGGGGTCAAACCTCATCTATCGGCACTCCGAGTATCTCGTGTTGCGCCAGTCACACAGCAAGCCAAGGGTCAGCTACGGCCTATCAAGTCTCCGTCTAGACTTTCTATGCGCATCTACCCAGCGGCCCATTCGCGCATGCGTTTTACCCATCTTAATACCATCCCTTCTACAGCGACTGTCCTTGCGATGCTAGAGCTTGACTTTACACCCTTCTTTGAGTGTGAGGTAATGCTTGACAACATATCAATTACAGTCGCAGAGGGTTTGGTGGAAGATCTTGCAAGCCAGTCTGGAATGTCGCTCCCTATATCCTGCGTCGCTCACGACCATGTCACGTTTCTATATCGTATTTCACCGGCCGAAGCCAATGTTGTGTCAAAAAATCCGATACGGGATCTTAGCATTGCTATCTCTGCCAAGGCTCTAGTTCGTCCAGGTATATCCGAACCACGATTAAGCATGGCATGGACTACAACGGTTGATTTTACAGTCCCCGTAAATCCAGGATACGGCTCTACCATGCAACCGATCCAACGCATGCATCGACCAAGTCAACTCTCCATCGGGGGTGAGAGTACCATATCTTTAACAGCACCGTCCGTTGCCCGACCAGACGCATTACCCTCTCTCGAAGCCGCAACGACACGAGAGACCACTGTGCCCGATATAGGTATTGCTATGACCTTCACTGGCCCGCCCCCAAGTCATCAGATCTTCCCCGGCGATGAATTCGTCTGGAATGTATTTGTTGTTAACCGATCGCCCGCGCCGTCGGCAGCACCAAGAAAGCTAGCAATAGTGGTGATTCCAAAACGAAGGCGTAACGAATCTCGAGTTAATCGACCACCCTCGGTTTCTCGGCTGCCTGGAGTCTCGTATAGCCTATCTCAACAACTAAAGACACCAAGGGACCGAAGCGTGGCAGATGCCGTTCTTGACGAGAACGTGGTCCACGCCATGCAGCACGGCAGTATTGTCGAAGGCGCGGAGGTAGTCTGCTTGAGCGCAGATGTGAGGGTGGGACCGCTTGCACCCGGAGCATGTCACATTGCTGAGCTTAGGTTTTTGGCCTTGAAAGAAGGCATCGTAAGCGTTGAAGCCGTGAGAGTTATTGACCTCACGAATAATGAACATGTAGATATCAGGGATTTACCCACCGTTATTGTTCAAAGAGGTAGATAGGCGCGAGCTGACATCTATAGTTAACCTACTATGCTAGTCTTCAATCCAAACGTCGTAACAAGTATCCCGAGATGCAGAAACTGACCAAACAATCATATTAGTTCTATTCCCGGAGGCGCTAACTGCCTTTGTATATGCTGCCGGAATGTATGTTCTTATTTTGTATATATTACAGGAGACGCTAGGTATCTTGGATAGCTGTTAATTTTTCCCGGTAATAATTCAGGTTTCTTCAATATAATCTCCTGTTTACAACCGAGAAGCTTTTCTCCAAGGAATTACCCAAGGGACCCCAGCTCACAATATGAACTAGGGTGACTACATACATAGAACCTCCAAATGCGCACAAGCTAGGGAAGAAGCTGGTGTCATGCCCCGGATTCGAGATGTTACGCCAAGTAGTATAGATTAACGACCGGTTTCATTGATCTAGTGCCCTATAGCTATCAACAAGAAAGAGTCAAGTTGGCGACTACTTGTATGGATATAAGAAATATTCTCGTTCAAGAGGGTATACACAAGAAGTCGCGGACAGAAAACCATAGATGGTATGTACTTGAGATAGCGCCACTTGTATCGCTGTACGTCGTAAATAATATTTACTCGATATGTTTGTAGAAAAGAGCGGCTCAGCCAAGATACTAGGGACTGCATACAAGCGAACTCAAAACTGTAAATCCATGACTCGCTGCCGTCTACATCATCCTAGGATACTAGGTACGCTCAATCCCTTCAGTCTAACATGCGGTCCTGCTCGGAGCGTCCTAGGTCGCTGAGATACCATGTTACAACCACGCATTTCTATTATTTTGCTCGTACGGCCCAACGATCATTTCATAATTTGTCTCAGAGTTGCGGCACGACAAGCGAACATCCGCGTTGAACCCCCCTGGCCATAGATCTAAACACCTGCATCAGGCTTTGCGATAGGTGTGAGCTCTGATGATATACATATTCCCCGGCGCCACTCAGTTGGTCGGAATCCGTCCCTTCGGGATCTTGCTGCCACTCTACTCCCCCAAAGTTTATGTTCAACATCGCTTCGGTCCCTGAGGCAAGCACGTCAAAATGGCGGCGGTAAAGGATACCCTAGGGCCCATTCTGAATGCTTCCAATTGGACATTGACAGCATTGGCGGGGATATTTCTTGGTCTACGAGTGTACTGCAAATTAAGTCGTAAAAGGGGGTTGTGGTGGGACGATCACATCTTAATATTGGCTTGGGTATGTGATGAGATCTCGACTTCAGTTGCAATAATGCGTTTTTCTAACCTACCATGGCGGCATTATAGGCATGTCTTCTCGTCGCTGTCGGGTCCGAAACCAGCTCTATCTCATTAGGATTTACCAGCCCGACAGGACCAAAATCCCCCGAGGCTGCCCTTCGACTTCAAATCCACGGAGGTTTAGAGAATGTGTTTTTCGGATTGGCCACGGCCATGAGCAAGACCTCTTTCGGGATTACACTATTGAGAGTCACTGAAGGCCGTATGAAAATGCTTGTCCTGTTTCTCACCGTCACCATGAACATAGCCGCGTTTCTATACATTATATTCACCTTCTTTAAATGCAAGCCGGAAGTATACTCTTGGATCAAAGGGCCTGGTTGCTGGAGCACCGAAAAATATATTCATTATGCTATATTCGCCGGCAGTAAGTGAATTCTATGTCATCCTTCATTCGGCGTATGAGGTGAATTGGTTCACTGATTCGCAGTGTAGGCTACTCCGCTTTCGTGGATTTCTCGTTTGCGACTATCCCGTGGTTTGTGATCATGAATCTTCGAATGAAGAGGAAAGAAAAATTCGGCGTTGCAATTGCTATGAGCTGCGGTGTAATGTATGAGTTCCTGTAACTAAGAATCCAACGGCTTGCTAATTACTGTCTAGTGCTGGAATAACCGCTATTATTCGATGTTTCTATCTGCCGCTCCTCACTATCGGGTCATTCTCGAGTAAGTTAATTGCGCTATATTAAGTGCACTTACAAGCCTGATGACTGACTCATTATCAGCTCAAGGGACAACACTGGTTGTATGGTACGTAGCTGAATCTTCGGCCACCATCATCGCCGCATCAATCCCTGTTTTACGGGCCTTGATCAAAAAAGTCTCCTTGGATCATTACAACCGCAGCACGGGTAATAAACCAGGCCCAAATAATCATACGAAAGATATCCCGAGGGGTCTACATACTAGCAATGTCGTAACGGCAGTTGTCGGTTCTCAGAGGGACCCGCATGATCCTCACGGCGACACGAGTAGCGATAGAAGTATTCTCGATGAAAGAGGGATTTTACAAACACAAGAAGTCCGGCTGAGTTATCATAGCAGAAGCGATAACAGCTGCGAACAAGAATACGACATGGAATCTATGGGAAGAGTGTCGCCTTGATTTATGATACCCGCAATAACCATGTCTGGCATGGCATGGCTTGACAGCTCCGTCGAATTTATGTGTAGGAGATTGTACGATTTACATGCGATATATCGCTATTAGATTACTGACTGTTAGTGTTCTATCGCATACTTACCGTCGTGACATGTAACGAGCAGTGGAAAGCAACGGATAGAATAACTTATATCCTGGGCACCTAACCTGGGTGCCTAGGTAGGTTAAATGCTCAAATTTGGTAAAATATATAAAAGGAGTATGGGTTTAATTTCTATCTTAAATATAAATATAACGACTAAGAAAACATGACTCGTAGAGACAAGATAAATTGTGTCCGAGTGGCAAATAGCTTAACAATCAACTACCTATGTAACCATTCGATCACGACAAGCAAATGTCGATTTCATGATATCAAAATGAAAGGTCTCTTAAATCATAGGCGCCGATAATATTGCGGGATGGCGCACGACATGACAGCATCCCGCTGTACGCCAAACCAAGAAGGGTTGAGCTAGCTACCATCCTGTATGTCTGGTATATATGTAGGTACAATGTATACATAGTGCGGCTGAACTATTGATCAAGGAATGACGAAAGATGCACGGATCTACACAGATAAACTTCTAGGTCTTGGGTCCTCGTATGACATGATGGATAAAGACGTTACTTTGGTTCCGGATGGCCCGCAACGCCCGGCTCTTCCTAGCGCCAACTGGTCTTGGTAGATTTGCGTGTGCCAGTATGAATGAATAAAAATGGTGTGTGCCCCGTGTGCCGCATCGTCGGATGCTCGGAAGAGAGAAACCTGCTTACTCTTTTGTGGTCTTGCTCAGCACTTGTGACGTACAGCAAAATCGCTCAATATAAGTTACGGTGAGGCATCTCGACTAAGGTAAAGTATCTATCTCTCTGTTATATCCTTGCGCAACTTTCGTTTTCGTCGAGCACCAGACAGGCTCCCGCTGGTACACCTATCGACAATAACTTGCTTTCTCGTTCGCTCACTCGCCGCTTGGAAGAAACTTGGCATATCCGAACTTACCGAATCGCCATAAAAGAAAATATGGCTGACTTCACTAAAAGTTTGATTATCGGGCTCGTCGTCTGTGCCGTCGTCGTCGTGATATCTGTCTGCCTAATCTATTATCTCGCCCTCAACTGGTCCAAGTTGGTACGGCGAATTGCTCCCAACCGCTGGGCAGAGCCACAAAGCGAAAAAGCAGAATGGCCGCAGCCGAGGAAATCCATCGAGACCGACTTTTCACCTACGCCCTCGCCCACATCTTCTCCCAGATCGTCTCCCAGATCGTCAAGAATGAGCACCGATCCGATGATCGGTCACTTCAAATCCCACAATGACGAACCAATAACACCCCCTCCCAACGTAAAGTCATAAAGAGGTGGCGTCTTCGTTATTTTTTCTTCCGCATCACGAATTACGAATTACGATTATTGGGCATTGCATTCACGGCGTTTCAAAGTGGATTCGGGGTATGAGTTATGATATATCTAGATGCATGATCGCTCAATATGCTGGCGAGGCGTTGTGGAGTTATGAGACGATGGGGATATCGTCCATGACATATTTTTGAAAGGGCTGTGGGGACTAGAGGTTGAGGGGTCACATACTTAGATCATTAGATCGGGTTGCTCTAGAGTAGATCACAGCCTAGAACATCTTAATGTAGAGCTCTATGGGCAGCAGCTTTCCGGGAGAGTGCACTAAACCAACGGTTGCTTATGATCTTGCTGTGGTTATGTCAATCATTACTTATTAGACATTTGCTACCCTTGTGAGTTGCTAGACGGCTACCTATATTTATCACAATATACAAAGATTTGCACCAGCAAGTAAATAAATCCGGTCTTCGATATAGCAATATAAATAATTATCAGTGGAGGATTAATAAAGTTTCTTGCTCAAGTGTCGTTTCTTCAATGCGTATTGCCTGAGGAGCTATTAGACGGCAATGTTGACGTCGTCCGATATATTTATCGTCTGAGGGAAGCATAGCAACAATCCTACTGTCAAGTTCAGAGGGGAAATCCGACTCCAATTTTCGAACGACAATTCGCGCCGGGATTTCCTGCTCGCTTGTACGAAATCTTTCCCCCTGATAGAAATGGATGCTCTCCAATTTAACAATGCTATCCCCCGCGCGCACCTTCTCATTAACAATAGTTGCTATTGAGTTATCGAGTAAGGCCAGTCGGCAGGAGCTTCTAGGATCATGTATATCCTTATTATAGAGCTTCAATATTAGTTCACAAGCGTTATCATCACTAACACTATCTAACCAATCAACAGGGCGCGAGCCTCCATCTTCGAGTACACTCCGTAACCAAGTGAACTCCGACCATAATTTTGGAACTGAATATCTGATTGGTTTATGTGAGAGTTTCGTGAAATAGACACTACCCCCTATTATTGTCATATTGTCCATGCAGCTATCCCGAGGTGGCCTCGGGGGTGGCAGAATCTCGCTGATGTGAATGACAACCAGTGGAGGGTTTTTAGATTTGATTAAGAGCACATCCTTCTCTAATGTTAAAGGACTATGATCTGTCTTATCGACCTGTTGGCCGTTGATGGATCCTAACTTGGCGTCAAAACCCCAGTCAGGCACCCATGATGGGAGAATAGACCTGAGAGGCGAGTTGGCGATATTAGATAATGCTCGATTAAAACCAACATGTTTAATCACGTAATGGCCAACCTCTATGAAGATCTCCCGAGCTGTCTTGTTATAGTCGATTTGTATAAATTCTTTAACCTCGTGACGGTCCAAGTGAAGTCCCATATTTGCATATATGAGGTCTCTCGAGTCAGTCGCTTGAGCTCTTCCTCTGATCTCTAGAATCCGCCATAGACTCAAGGCTCCTCGATCAGTATCGCTACGCGCGTGGACGGCATCGTGAACTTCCTTCATACGCGCCAAGTCGACCTCTATTCCCGATTGGCACTGCCTTAGCAGTGGGAGGAGTAGGTTGCAAAGATCCATCCATCTCGCAAGTCTTGATCCGCATTGAAACCAAGGGTCCCTCGAAAGGGCTAATTCTTGAAACGTCCAAGCCCGACGAAACCAAGGTCTGGCCAACAGTTGGCTTGACGCTGTAGCGAGATCCAAACTCTTTTTCGAGGGGTTGTCATCTTCCAAGTCCTGTTTATGTACAGAAGCTGAATTTATACTACTAGTATTGTCAAAACTTCTAAACATTCCTCCGCGTAGTCGTTGAAGAATAAGCTGGGCATCAGGGCTTAATGGACCAAGGTAGATTATCGTGCTACCTGCAGTAGAGTAGATATCACCCATTAGAGCGACTTGTCGATTCCGTTCGGGGATGTTCCTTTGGTCAATACATAACGCGTCAATCCATATTCGGAGAATCCTTGTTTTATTGCGAATGTCTCTTAATGCGGCGCTGAGGTTAGCAGCGATTCCAATTTTATAGCCATCGACAAGAATCGTATCAGTGGTTGTGCTGTCGCCCCATACATATGATAGAGCAACATAGTGGTCAGTAAAATATTGTCTAGGAAGTACAATATGTTGGAACGAGCCCTTCAGAACCGCTGCTCGATTTGGTGAGGGATCAAGAGAGAAGACCCTAATCTCCCCAGACTCTGTTAAGGGGCGATATTGGAATGGTGTTGACATCTATGTTTAGTGGAATACACGGGCCGCCTTTCTTGATCTTGGAACTTCGCAGTGAAGTTAGGTAGGATTATTTATTCAATTTAGTAAGGGTTTTTCCAACGAATTATGCCAACTCATCCCACTCATTGGTAGCCAATAGCCGACTCTCTATGACGGCCTGCAGATATCCACCAACTAGTTACGCAGTCATCTCAGGACCCTTCCCCATAATACAGGGGATTAAGATGTTTATTTTCCATGTAGATACCTGGGCAATACTAAAGACTATAGTTCCGCAACACAGCTACACATCTCTTTTACTATTATATATTAGGTTAGTCGTCTCCTAAATATGACCTCTGGATTGTTCTAGCTGATGTATCCCATTTACTCGTGCTATATATAAGATTAATTATATGATTCTCTTCTTTGGGCTGGTATTTTGTAGGGGGTGGTTCATCGGGTTTGTTGTATGAATTCTATCACTCGTCAGTTTAAATCACTTAATCGAACTTCAGATAAAAGAGCCTTTAAACATTTAATCCTGGTTTAAAATTAATATTATATGTAGCTTTAGCTAGTAGCGCCGAGTTATATACACTAGCTGCTTAAGACATCTCTACTGCGACAAGGTGTCATAGTATCATATAGGTTGGGAACCTAGAGGGGCTACCACCGAGCTTCTATTGATATTGATAGACCAGAATGATTGGTTCCGAGAGCTACGTCGGCATCCAAATGTATACCAAAAGGAATCATATTGGTTTTAATTGGAAGCGTCTTATAGTTTAGAACCATCAAGACACTACGTTCGCTACGAAGATCAACCGTGTGTCCCACCACCTTTTCCTTTCCTTCTAGCCAATAAATGAGAGTGTTTATAGAATATAGGTTGCTCCGGGCATCTCTGACTCGAGATACATTCAAGCATCCATATAGCCTTAATATCCGACAAACCAAACTTGGTTTTCCATTTACATCATGTAATTGTTTCATACATTCTCAGCACCTACAAAGTTCCATCCTTTAGAGGACTCCTATCGCTCGTCTCACTCACTAGAGGGGAGTCGCACCGTACTTAAGTAGCAAGTCCACTGCTCCTTGGTTTTGCTTCGCCATGGCAATCTGTAGGGGGAGGCAATACTCAAATGTAAGGGGTCGCATGAGGGGCATATTCGGATTGGCTCCTCCGCAGAGGAGAGCGTCGAGGCATGCATTCGAGTATTTGCTCGTTTTTTGATCGCACACATGATACATAGACCGAATCTGTTCGACCGCCGGTGCTGAGCGAAATAAATCCCGTTGGACCATGGCTCGTACGACCTCCGGGTTTCCACACAGGACAGCTCGTAGGAGGGCTCCGGTATGAGGTTTGCCGGTCGATCTGTTGATGAGTTCGGGGAAAGGGATTGCGCCATGGTCAAGTAGGAGCTCGCACATGGCCACGTTTCCTTGGTCGAGGGCCAGATCAAGCGGAGTGTCTCCTTTCTGATTAGACTGGGTTGGGTCCGCACCCCTTTCCAGTAGCATTCGTGCAACCGTTATGTCTTTACCCCTGCATGCATAAAGTAGACAAGTCCATCCCGATTTCGATACATAATCCCAAGGCGCACCGGCATCAAGGATAATACTTGCAACATCATAATTTCGAGACTCCAAAGCTTTGAACAACCGTGTCTTTGTAGCCAGCATCCCAGCAGCGTCTTCGAACTGTAAAGCATATTGGAGAGAAGCAACCTGGTTCTTGTCGATAGCCTTGATTATCATCGAGGCCAACTCCATCTTCGATGGAAGTCTCGTGTTATACTTTTGCAGGAGTTCGCAGGTTTCTATATGACCACCCGCAAACAGCGGATCAATTAGGGATTCAGTAGAACCGCTAGTCGCGTTTGGAGGTGAACCATACTCCAATAATAATTTAACCATGGTAAATTTGTCAGTATGTTTTTGCCCTGAACGGCATAATATCTCCAAAGCGGTCTGCCCAGAGTATTCCACGTCGGTTGTCGAAGCACCCCTCTGAAGAAGCAACCTAATAGTTGGGAGTAGGTGGTTCAGGTCACCTACAAGCGTACATGCTCTCATGAGCGGAGTCATTCCACGGGAATCCCGGGCATCAACCACAGCTCCGGCGTCGAGTAGGCACTCTACGACGAGATATAAGCCCTCCTTGGCAGCGACTGCCAGAGGGGTAGTGCCACTGAGGTCCCTCGCATTAACGTCCACTCCGGTCTCGACAAGCCGCTTTACGAGCGTTAATCGATCATTCGTCGACGCATACCCTCGCTCGGCTCCTAAACTTGAAGTATTTATAGACACACCGGTAGGCACGCAGCAACAATGTAAGTATGTAGCTCCAGAGCCACAATTAGGGTTAGCACCTAGCTTGATGAGGTTGAGCGCATCTAGGAAACACCCTCTCGCGCATGCATCCAAGAGCAGTGTGCAGCCATTGCTATTTTGAGCATTGATGTTTGCGCCATTTTGCACCAGCCAGTTGATCATATTCCAACGACCTGCCTTGTAGGCCCAGTGAAGCGGGCTCATGCCATGATGATCTTCGATGTCGATTGGTGGCTGGTAGTAGTCTAAGAGGAATTGGGAAAGGTCGAGAGCATTCATAGAGCTTGATACATGTAGAGCGGTTATGTAATTACTCGAAGATCCCAATTCTCTTGACGCTACCTGGAAAGAGGCGCCTCGGGCTACTAGGATCTGGGCTGCGGAATAATTCATATAACACTAGATATAAGGATAAGCGATTGAAAATACAAGGAATATCTGGCCAGATAGATCTATTCATAGACCTACTATAGCTGTATGAAGAGGCATCCACCACGGAATGGTTTCTTCCTTTAGACTTGACCTAAAACCAGATTCACACGGGCCTCCGCACGAGCATAATCCACGAGAGAGGGCGTTGACGTTTGCGCCATGATCCAACAGCAAGTTGATTATATCGTCATAACCTAGACGAGCAGCAAGATGGAGAGGTGTCCATAGCTGTGAAGGTAGTTCATCTGACCGTTTTTGTGGAGTCGTAAGAATCCTACTATTCGTGAACGGCCTCCCGTTAATATCATCATTTATGATAGCCCGCCGCTGTAGATTCTGCCGGTTTAGAAGAGCTAGCTGGTACTCATAGTCTTGTAGGCACGATTGCCCTCCAGCAGGGTCACCCCAAGGATAGAGGAACATGGCCTGGTCCGGGTTGATGCCTGCTGCTAGCAATTTCATAACTACTTGGGTTCTTCCCAACTCAACAGCCCAGAAAAGGACGCTTATATTCTTACCAACCCGACGATAAAGGACAGGATCTAAAGCTTGGTGGAGAGCACGACAACAACGACAGGACATGGAAATATCCTTGGTGTCCAAGTGTTCCGCAACGAGAGTGAGGAGTTCGATGGGTAATCGTAAGAGCGCCATTTTTCGACTGTTTGCTTCTTAGTTCATTCCTTCTGTAGAGTTGAGGTTGGAAACGTGTGTGTGTGTGTGTGTGTGTGTGAGTAAATTGTATGTATTATCAATGTAAATATTTGAGGTGTGAAACACCTCAACGCGGATGTAGACGCGAACGCGGACGCGGGGTAGGAATAATGAAGGCAGCTGGAAAATAAGCTGACCAAGTGGTGCTGATAGACAGAGCCACAAGGTTTATTATTGCCAATCAGCTCGATTTGGAGTCGAGTGTGAATGTAATTGGATTCTAATCTTGCATGAGATTTGCTTCTTGCATGACTCGAATTCAAAGGAATATGCCGTCACGTGAGCATCATGTGTATATCCCATAGAGACAGCGTTGACAAGAGTAGAGGTTCTATCTTATTACAAGAGTTTTGGTCATGTAGTCAATCTGACAGGTCTTCTCTCCCTTTTTAAGAGTCTCGTATTAGGCTCTAAATTGGGTAGACAATTTCAAAGTAGTGACGCACTATAGTTATATTATTATGTCGTTCAATGATTCCTATAAATGATAACTTTCATCTAATGTATTTGGTAAGTTGTGAGCTATAATACAAGTTGTTCATGCTATCAGAAAAAGCCACACAATGACATGTAAGCAGTCAGTATTTTGGTTATGCAATTACCAAAACTCATAGCCTCATCACTTATAATAACTGCAAATATATGAGTTGAGCTTCAATCTAAGCTACAGTAGTAAATGACTTCGTAATTTCTTAGCCCTTTATTAAAGAAAGAAAGATCATTTGTATGAAGTTACATGTCGATGCAAAGGTTTAGAGGAAGCCCTGTACAGTATTAAGACAGTAAAATGATAGAAACACAGTACGAATAGTATTTGTGTACGGTAAATAGAATAGTTCAGAGCGCTTGTAACTAGCCAGTCTATTGTTAGACTTATACTATTTATTGTTGGACAATAGGGATACTTTCTATAATATAGTTAAATATGAATTGCCCTTGATTGCCTTTTCTTGAAACTGAACTGACTCTCTAGCTGATTGGCTACGGCAGTCGACGGGTAGATCAAACATTAGCTTGGCTGATGAAACTTGTAGCCAGGTCAAATTAAGGGAAGTAAATTTACAAATGAAGGTGACGCAATAAGCAATGCGAAAAGCTGGGATTTCTCATCTCTTACACGGTCACAGGAATATCATTATCGTCATGGCTTACGGAGGTAATCTAAACTGTCATCAGTCATATTTTCCCTTGATATACGAACTCATGCATGCAGCGACAAAGAAGGGCACGTGCAAGTAAAATGCAACCATATCTATCCTCTCTATATATGAGCACAAGCAGGCTGTGAAGAAAAAAAAAAAAAAGATCGGACGTTACAGTCAGAAAAATGCCTAGGGTCTATGAAACCAATCAGAGGTTAGATGACGAGCATGGCTTTAGGTTTAAATAAGCTGATTGGCCAATTCTTGAAATCCAATTAAACGCGATTAAAGATTTGACGCGTTGAATTCGCGACTCAACGCGTCTTCCGCGTCTCCCACATTTTACTCAGTTCCACTCTTCCCCTCCTCTTCGACCCAAGGCTTTCGCCGGCTTTCCACTGCCCCGAGAATGAATAATGATTAACATGTCCAGCGATCGCACCAAATACCGGTTGAAGCCAACCGGGGAATTTTGCGTAAAGTGCATGCAGAGCCTACCTTAGGTATACTATCCAAAGCTACCTACCAGGGTTACGTACTCGTTTCTCCAATGTCTATTGCCCTGCTTGCATTATCAGTACCTATACCTAATGCAAGGGCATTGGGAGAAGGAGGGGTGATCTTGATAGTGCTATGTAAGTGTGGGTGGTCTCGGCCTGTTTCCCGCTGCTACTCGATAAGACGAATATAGGATACGAATAGAGGATATACCTCCTTCAATGTTTCGACATACAAGCCTATCCTAATCAAAGAAATCGTCATGCAATGCGCAGGGATCGACGGGAAGTTCGAGATCTGGTTGCCTTAAGTATAATACCGGACTACGTAGCATGTGTTCAGTATAAGTGAAAATGATTAACTGCTAAGGCTTCGTCACCTAAGCTGACTGGAATCTGACGGTGGCCGTTCGTGCCACATGGCCTTACGCGCTTTCGTTCTCCCGGCTACATTCTCACCTTGATAGAACTGTTCTCGGATTGTCCGCGGGTTCCACCGCATAGGCATTTGGAAAGGCGTAACGCCTATCTGATACTCTTCACGGCTCTAGATTACGTATTACACATTTTAAGACTAAAAACATCTCCCTTCGATATTCGAGGGCGCAAAGGGCGGTTACAGTCAAACACTCTAGTATCTATATGGGAAGATATAGTTAATAATCAACCTGACGATAAGTTACCCAAGGTAGCAGCACACCATCGCAAAAGGAGATTTTGATTGAGACTATATCGTGAGACTATTCCCAACGCAGACGAAACTACAACATCTAGTTTTTAAGGGCAGTGGACCTGGACGGATCGATCAGGTCTAGTGACTTTTATCCTGCCCTGCAAGGTGCCCTCGTGCCCCTCGTGGCACACCATCTTCAAGAAGAGCTAAAGAGTTAGGAGGTGATAAATTACTAAGAAGGTTTAGAATCAATGGTGTAAGGGTTGTGTCAAAATCTCAATCGGGTTATAAGTGCTTGCTTGTAAAGTACATAATTCTTACTTCTTACCTTCTTACCCTCTTACCCCTGGTTCGTCTAGGCTATATAGTACATTCATAGGTAGTATGGACCTAAACTTCTCCCTTGATGTAGTGTACCTAATTGTACCTGACCTTTTAATGGACGGGTCACTCTCCATAGCGGTTAAGCTAGATCAGTACCTGAGTTCTGATCCACTATATTGGCCCCATAGTGTACACCTCTAGACCGAAAACGGTACGTATCATGTGGGCCATCCGTGCCAACCTGGACAGGCAGTGCAGTTTTAACCCGTTCCTGGGGGATTCTTCCTCTTTCTTGTTGGTCTTATTAGGCGCATTATTCTAGCCCTCTCCCGTCTCCCACTCCGAGCTTCCACTTTCCCACTTACATCTCATCTCCTAGCAACCGTCCGTCCATTGATCGCCCGCGTTTCCCGTCGCATAACAATCATCACTCAACTCCAACATACATTACTATCGCAACTTACTCTTGAATATAATACCACCTATTTATATTAAATTTATACAACTATTTACGCAACTATTATTTTCTAGCTACACGGCGCGCATCGCATTCCAGCTACAGTCGCATTCGAAATCTCGCAACATATTCCGCTTGGAGCAACGTCTCGGCACGCGCTATCACAACACAAACAACACCAAAGCAACACTTCGAATAGGTCGTCGTAAAAATGTTGATGCCGTCAGCACTCTCGTGCGACTCGTCGCACCCGCCTGTTACCAGGCTTCAGTCTGCTCTTTTCGCGTCGCCACCCGCTAGTCCCCCAACGAGCGCGCACAACAGCACGCTTGGAAACATTTTCCAGTCATGCCGCGCGCTCCAATCTATGCTTACAGCACCCGCAACAATTCCCTCAAATGACAACATCAACGCGCGCCGGGATCCGCTACCTACACCGCCAATGGCCCACACCGCTCTTCCTCCTCTAAAACTACGCCTGCGATCGCGCAAAACAGACACCAATGGGGAAGTTCTCCCTAGGAAGAGGGTCGTAAAGAGATCAGCAGCACCACCCCGCGGCGCCAATAAGCGACGCCGCGCTGTTGAGGATGACATGGGTCGGGATGAGGAAATGGACAGCGACCTAGAAATAAGTGGTTCGGAGAACGAAGAATCAAGCGCCCGACCTAGCACGCCAAAACGCGCCCGCCTCGCGCCGGAAGTAATACCACTGGGTCTAGGGCGGAGAGACTTCCACAGTTTACAATCTGCCAAGGACGAAGAGAGTATGGTAGAAGGCACAGAAGTGGAGGTAGAAGCGGATGGCGAGCGGTGGAGCAAAGAAGACGACCGGATACTAGTCGAGCTTGTCCTGGAGAAGCTCAAACTCTCCAAGACAGACTGGCAGGACTGCGCGCGGAGTCTGGGCAAAGACCGGGGTAGCATCGGGCGGAGGTGGAGGAGTCTGATGATCAACGGGGACGTCGGGCTCAAGTCGTCGAGGAGTCGGCGAAGCAAACTACACAGCACCTGGAGGTGAAGTCCACGTGCTCTATCCATTCATTCACATATCTATTTTGTTTTCTATCTAATAATCATTCTCCTGGATCTCGGGAACCGAGTCCTAGCTGTACTTTGGACAGATATTGTGGTGCAAAACGGAAAGGCTAGGCGCTTTAGAGTACTGGATACCTGGACAAGATATCCCATATCGCGCGAAATGCGCTTGATAGGTCGGCGGTAATTGTCGGTTATACTTTTTTAGATATCAACTATTGTTGAAATACAATGATCCTTGCCTCTTATCATTCTCTCCATCTTCTACCTAATGTGAAATCTTCAACAACTCGCGACTTGCAGCTACAACAGTTAGACAGTAGAATCTTCATGCATGCAAGTCTCCCCCTTGCGCACCAAATGCAGACACCTATGTACACTATTGTAGCCTCCCGGGGCTGGCTCACCACTTAATTAGAGTGGCTATTACGAACTTCCAACCCCGTATTTTCCCAAAAAGAGCAGAACAGTAACCTCATTGCAATACAAGTGTAGATAAAACTCTCACAATCCGCACATCTCGAAGCCGAAAACGGACTACCAAGCGCTCTCGGTACCCGGCATTCTCGCTAACGACCACCAGGGTCTCTTTTTTTTTTTTCTTGGTCTGTTCCCGCTTCGAGGCCAAGTTTTACCAGTCGACCATCTAGCACGATAAGTTTCCGCGGCTCCGCTGCGGCGGCTAGGGTTGGTTACGTTGGCTCCCGGGAGGGGGGGGGGCCGGGGGGTGTTCCCATATTTCGGTTACGGGAGGCTGGGAGATTCATGCCGCGAAGCAGATACCTAAACTAGGTAACTTCACTCTGAAAAGTCTGGGGGGTGGTTTTTTTTCTTTTTCCCTATCATGCTCTCCCCGCCTTCTTCATTCCTGGAAAGGGATGGTGGTCGTGTCTGAGTTTCTGAGTCTATACATACATTAGGTACATACGCACATATGACTTGCATTGAAGATCGCTCCCCAGCCTCCTATCCTGCCCCACGACGCCCTTGCTTCTGTTCCAGGAGGCTGGTTACTTTACGCATGGGGTTAGAAGGATTTGAAGAGACAGAGATTGGTAAAAAATATGAGATTTGCACGCGTTCTATCTACGAAAAGCAACTACTTGTTCTATATAACTACCCCATTCAGTAGCCCTCATTCTCACCCTCGTCCTCGTTATCCTCCCTCCCACGACGCCCAATCGGTTGGTTCTCGTGCCGAGGATAACCATCAGCTTTTCATTTCTCAATGCCAGCTAAGATCCGCTTTAGCCTGTTGTTTACTGCCCAGTGCTGGATTTGATAGACTGCCGTTTGAAACTTCTTAAATTATTCAAGATCAGTCAAGGCGAAGCTTGAAATTAGCCTTATATAGTAACGAGGGCAACGTTTTGTTTCTGTGGGTGTAGTAGTTTCGATTACTTCTCTCCACATGACATACATGTGTGCGGGCTAAGATATTGTGCTAACGAGAAAGACCATGTCCTGATCCCCCCCCCCCCCCAAGTGCCGGCCAAGTCATATCCAAGGAGATGCGGCCGCTGATGAAAGATTGTTTCTCTGCTATTATCATGTCGCCGTCGCAGTCTTTTGATTCTATGATTAAGTATGGGAAGCAAACACATGTCTGTATGGCATGCTTCTGAACTGTTCATAGCCCGGGTTTCCCATAACGGGTCTCCACATGGGACGTACACGCAGATTATTATACCCGAAGATCATAGCTGACTTCTGATTGTGCAGCGTATTGGGCCATTTTCTGGGGGCAAAAGGGCGACCTGCAACATTTCTTTAATGCAATACGTCAGTAACAAAAGCTAGTATCCTTCTTTCTGAATTAGGGAATTATCGGTCCAGCTTTCTCGTCGAAGATCCAGAGCAGTAAAGAGTTGATCTATAAACCGCTTTCCCCGTCCACTACTCGTACTATAGTCCATATAGCTACTGTGTATACAATCTATATCTGTAGGTATATCGTCCTTTTCTATACTATTAACTTGGTCGATATCCTCCTGGACCCAATCTGGAAGCGTGGTGTAAGGGCGTAGCACTTCGATTCCATTGTTGAGCAATTTGGAAGTCCATGATGGTAGTATGGTAGTATAAGTAGGTGTAGGTTTTGATATGACTCCCTTGCAAAAGAATCTACTTACGAACAGGCTCGTAAACAATAGCTGTGCAATATTGATAGTTATGTAAGAAAAGAATTCTTATCCCTGATGTATTTAGTCTTGCTATAGCTGAAGCACCTAAATATGTCTGATCTTTACTTATTATGCACTTTTCGCACTGTCTTTTGAGAAAGCCTGAAGCAGTAACACTGTATACTTAGGTGTACTGCTGGTAGGTTACCTATCTTGTTCATTCGATTTCACACTTCACCCCCTTTCCTGTATATCTCACCCATCACATAGATTCATGTTGAAATCGATAAGTTAGCCTTCACCTTGGCATTGCCAAATATGATCTGAAAGCTATGTCAACGTGACTCTTGTTAGTAGGTACCTAAGCTATGGGCTGTTTTGAGGTTGGTTACCTTTTCGCGGGGTATGGCGGGTAGGTAAGGCGAAAGAAAGCTGTCACTCGTCTTACCAAATTTTGGTAGGCAACAATAAGTCGTGTAACAGAAAGTTGCATTCTATCGTGCATGAATCCGTATCCAATAGACATACTACAGTCCCTTCTATGCATCTATGCATCGTCCCTGTTCTACTTCTCCGAGCCTATAAGAACTAGGTATCATTTTATATATCTTGTACTCCCAAGTTACTATCTCAAAGTTACTCAGAGCAATACACTCTTTACCATCTATTCAAATTCTCGAATTACGCTACTCAAATATGAGCACGCTGATTCCTAGAGTGCCTTCGAACGCCGCCCGTGGTCAATTGCGGGGCCGTGGTCGAGGCCGCGGTAGTGGTAGTGATAGCGGTAGTGGTCGCGGTAGCGGTCGCGGTAGCGGTAGCGGTAACTGGCGAGGACGAGGACGAGGGAACAGTTGGAGAGGACAAGGCCCTAACTTGAGCCGAAGCAAAGATCAACCATCTAGGAGCACTATTGATGATGCCCCTCTCGGTCGACTGATCACGAAGATTACTTTAGGAAGTACTTCAAATTATAACATACAGACGGGTGATGCGAAGATTAGCAATTGCAAATATGCAGCATCGTACTCTCTGGTCGACTCTAAAACACCCAAAATTATTATTCCAGGTATGTCACCAAGATCAATGTCCACCAGGATGCTAACACGGTAAATAGGAGAACCAGCAAAATGGACGCCACCTCAATTACCTTTACAACTTCCTGGAGATCGTGGAGATTATCTTCGGGATCACAATGGAGCAAGATTTCCTGAGCACCCCATGCTACCCTCTGTGCATTCCCTTCTTTCTTTGAATAAAGGGTTTGACACATCAGGGGTTGACATTATGGGTTGTGCGAGTTCTCTAGGAGACCTTCTTCGGTTCGTACGATCGGTCAATTTAACATTCAGATTCGATGTTGAAATGATTGGAGATACTTTATTCCTGATTCGTAACTGTCGCGATCAAGTCATTCCTGAAATCCGTGGATATGGCCATTCCTTCTTGGATTCTTTCACTTCCTATGAACCCAAGATGCGGGAAACTAAATCACATCAACGTATCATCTCTTATTGCTTCAGCGGCTTGAAATGTCTCGTTCGGTTTGAATGCGATGGTCATTTAGCAAGCGATAGAGAGGATTTCACTGCTACGGCTACTGAACTAGATGGCTTGAACCTTTCAAAATCACCCGCTATCGAGACGGCCGGAGCGATCGTACCTCAGCGGTCAATCATTGAAATTAAGACAAGGTCTAAGGCAAGATCTCAAGTCGGTGCACCAGTTGATATGGATGAGCAATTTCCCAGGCTGTGGCTTCGTCAAATCCCCAACTTCGTCACGGCATATCACGTCACGGGAAACTTTGAAGATGTTGAAGAAAAGGCCATAGAGCAAGAATTGCTCGATTGGGAAAAGAACCACCAATCCGAACTACAGAAATTCGCTTCCATTCTACGCCAACTAATTGTTGAGGTCAAACGGGCAGGCCATTTGAAGCTCGAACTGTGTCGAACTGAATCAGGACCACTCGAATTAAGGGAGCAAGCCGGCAAACCTCGGGAAGTGCTTCCAAGTGATTGGAGGGATATATGGGCCAGGCAGAATCAGGGACCAGGCAGCGATGGCACAGCCGGCTTGAGTGATGAGGATGAGGACGACAGTTATCCCAGCCTGCTTTCTCGGAAGGGAGAATCCGACGAATCGGATGATTCTGATGATGGTTTCTCGTTAGATTTCACAGCATGTGACCCAAGTTGCGGATATTGCGGTAAGTGTGCCTAAAAGTGAATGTGTTGGCCTCAAGGAGCATCAAGCAGTATCAAGCAGTATCAAATAGTATCAAGTAGCCTGGTAGCATAAGAAATCTCTCGTTTTCTCTATTGCGCGTTCGCGCGTTTGCGTGTTTGTGCTCGTGTGCCCGCATGATAGGCATGATTTACTCCGCACTTTTAGGCCAACTGATAGAGAGCCGTTATATGATTGAGTTGAATCCCGCACAGTACTGTGTTACATGCATGCAGGTTGCCCGTGAAAATGTGAGATGTGAGATATGAGTTAATGCGGCTTGCCGATTCGAAAGCCACGTTATCGACTGGAGACACAGAGACTCGAAATCGAGGGGCATCCGGTCTATCACCACAACTAGTAGAAAGTCTCAACTGTTTGTCGTATGTTGCTTTACTTCATTTGTATAGAAGTAATACTCTTATTTTCCCCTAGAGCCTCGCCAATCTTCTAATAAGGTAACATTGCTCATTATCGACGACAGCGCGATGTCGTACCAAGCAGCTGCTAGCGGACCATCACCAAATCAAGACCAGGACACTGGCTTCCGATCTCGAGCGCTTAATAGCTTTTTCTACCGAATACTCGAAGGGAAAGGGAAAATCACTGGGGTTAGAGATGCACAAAAGTTTCTCGAGTCTATTGTAAATAGAACTGACAGGCCAGACTGCATCGAGAGATTGGCTTCGTCAAAAAGTGGTCAAGAAGCCCTCCACAAGTCATTAACAATAGATACCTCCGTCCAGTTCATTAACAGTCATGTCTCGAATCTCTTGAAATTCCTCGCGGACCCTGCCCTGCAGAGGGTTTGCGAGGGAGAACTCCTCAATCAAGTCCTCTGGGTTATGGTTGACCCGTCGTTATTCTGGGATAGCTTAATCCAGAATATACAGTCCGAA